TTTAATTTAAGCTAAATTTTAATAAATATAAATTCCTTAATAATTAAAAAAATAAGCTAAATAAGCTTATTAAAAGATTTAAAAATAAAATAAAAAGTCTTTTAATAAAGCCTTTTTAATAAGTTTAAAAAGTAATAAGCTATAGCTATAAAACTTATTTATTAAGTATATAGTAATATAAAAAAACAGGTAAATCTAGCTTTTAAAATAAATAGATAGATTTTAATATAAAAGCTTAATCTTTTAAATATAGCTACTAATAGAGTTATATATAGTATAAATAAATAACTATAGTTAAAATTATATTAAGTTCCCTTGAAGAGGGAAGCTGGAAAAACTGGAGCGGCGGTTTGAATAAACGCGATGGATTGTGAAAGTCGCAGGAATTAACTGCCTTAAGCCTTTGATCAATCTCCGAGGCTGGTGTGGCGACCTCGGCCAGACGGGCGTCGCAGATTCCATGTCCACAGGCTAGAAGCTCTGAAGAGTCATTGCAGAAACACCAAGAGCACACCATAAGATCGGGTATTTCTAGGGTCTCGACAGCTGAGTAGAGAGCTTCTACAGCAGACTTGTGAATTCTCCACGTAGTGTTGCGCATCGCTTGTGGTGTGTCTTGACTGTTAATTTCTTGGTCAAGTGCCTCCAGTCCGCTGTGAAGTCTATTATCCCATTGCACCATCAATTCATCGAATATCTGAGACTCATATGATCCATGCCCAATAAAGTCGCCGTGACGATCTTGGTGGCACTGGTGAGTCGCGTTTTTGTTCACACATCGTTCTCCATCGTCCCCCTGGTACTCGCATTTCAAGCTCATAGAGGTGAAAATTTCAAAGGCTTAAACGACCTGCACTTTGTAGGAATTCTTGTTTGATCCCCAACAGCTCTGAGCTGTTTGGTCGGTTTCGCCGCAAAAGATGTCAACCCATCTCCCTGCAAGACTCTTGAACGACCGCGCAGCATCTAGAGCCATGATGGAGCAGACAAGTGGAGCCATAACACCAGAGAATCGCGACGCAATAGAATTTCGATCGCCATTTGTGTCTAAAACCTTGAACGTCGCGATCATCAGTTCTGAAAGCCTTGCTGCCATCTTAGCCGGAGGCGGGCGAAGCGATTCAGCTGAGCTAAGAAGTCGAAGGGCTCCTTGACTTTGTTTGTGTAGTGGTCAAAAGCAAGTCTGAAGAATTCGTCCATGTTTGGAGCTGAGAGAAGCATCCTTCTGCGAGACCTCTCATCCAATGATTCGTTACTCAATTGGTAGATCATCCTGTGCAGTCTGGCTAACTGTGTAGACAGACAGAAAATAGATTGTCTCTCAGGAAGCCGGATGAATTGGACAGACGCATATGAGGTTAAAAGGAGATCTTCCAGGGTATTGATCTCAATACCAACCCCGCGAAATCGGTCCGCCATTGCTCTCACCTTGTCGTTTCCTTCCAAGATACGTTGCTGCTCAGTGAGGATTTGTTGGCCAGTCGCGATAGGATCCCAGTTTGAGTTATCGTCAGATCGATTAACGACGATTATCAGGTGAGGTAACCCAAAGCGATTGGTAGCAGATATATGCGAAACTTCGGCCCATTCGAGTAATTCGACAATAGAATCGTCTATCTGCCGCAACGAATGGCTCTGCATAACGTTGACAACGACGTCGGAGAAGTTGTACAGGAGCTTGGGAAAGAGTTATTTGACGACGTCCTGTCGTTTTTCAACCGCAGGTAAAGACCGTCTGAACCCACTTATAACATATCTCCAGCTATCCTGCCATCTTCGGATGTCTGGCAACCCTGGAACCGACCTCCAGTCATCCCCTCGTCGGCCATGATGGTATGTAGGCCTCTGAGTTCCAGCACCAAAGCCTTCGCAGTCCGCATATAGTAGTGGACGGCCCACGGCCTCGTCTTCGTCCATCAGTGTATCGTAATAAAGGTGTACATCTCCAGAAGTCGGGATACTCCTCTGGCGTGGCCCCACGACTGGGGCTTTGGTAGGGACGTCGAGTGTTATCATCCTACGCCGGGCTGTCTCGTCCCATAAATGTTCTATCAGAAGTCGTATTATCGCACTCTTTCCTTCCCCAGTCTTGCCAACAAAGGATACAAGGCGAGGATAAGGGGGTGATTGAGGTGAATGCTGCCTCTGGTGTTCGGACACAATAGCGCCGAAACGTGGAAATTCCCGAGGCTCAAGCGAGCCAGTATCACCATCGACGGAGAACCACAAGCTATCGTCATCATCCCGATGTTGCGAGTCTAGGGTCGAGGAGTCCGGGTCCAGGATCCTTTCAAATAGTTTGCTGCGCTAGTGAGTCCTTGTACAGCTTTATAGTCTGAGTAAGAGGTCCTTACAACTGATTGAGTGTTATCCTTTGATGCGCAGGACTCTTTCTCTTGTGCGGCCCGCGACTGAACCAGCACTCGTCACAAAGAGCGCGGCATTCCTTACAGTACCAGATGGCAGGACACTCTTCGCATTCCCTACAGACAATCTGATCATCGGAAGCGTTGGGGCCTGCCTGCGCTTCGTCACCTCCGCCCGCGGGTTGCCCAGATGATTCTTCCTCGTTACGCCATGCTGCTTCAGAATTGGCGCTCGCAGTCACCAACTGAGAAATTCCAGACTGGTCTTCCGTAGCCCAAGCGTTCCTGTCTAGGATGTCATAAGAGAAAGGCATGGCATCTATTGCTTGATATCATTTATATGATAATCAATGGGGCAGGAAAGAACATCTGCGGGTCATTCTCTAAACTGATTATGCGAGAAGCGAGAAAAGTGTTTACCTTGATTATATTGATGTTCCGCTAGCTTACGCGTGGACTTCTTTGATTGTATAGAATATTGGAAACTTAGTTATACAGCATTATTTTGAGACCAGCCTCATGGCTTGTTACCCCACCCTGCTCAGCGACTGATATAGCAGACATCTAGCGATTTGGTCAGTGATGTGCAGAGTGGCTGCAGATGGGTAGGCTACGAGGCATATGGTATAAGCAGTCTTCTTTTTATTTATATAATTACTATTTGAAGCTGCCTGTCTCTTGAGCCTTTGGGATCCTGGATTTGGTAGTGTCAACGAATTTACATTAATATCGGGTCTACGGTGGGAGGGCATGCGCGAGAAAGTCTGATCTGAAACGTCCTCCATGCCAACTTGCCTCAGCTGATCTTTTCATTGCTCTATTTCCAATACAACATCCTCTTTAACTGCATGGCCGCGGCAAAGGAATGGAGCGAATATGGCAACGAAAGAAGGTCTCTACGTTTCTCATCCAACCCAAGAGGCAAGCAACGATCATGATACTTCCTTCAGCTCCCATATTGATACAGCATCCCTCTATTGGTAGCCTCGATTTCTATGCACTGGTTGTTGTCGCAGAGTATCTTCATCGTCGCCGCTGAAGATACTCTTAATTGGATCGTGTTAACTTGTGGATACTCACCTATAGCCATTATTTTTGTCATCATCATTGCTGTGTTCATGGCTACTGCGGTTGTCATCACAGCAACACGGCACTTATCACCTGCCATGCCCGTCGCTGCAAGTTGCAGCTTGGCCATTGCAGCTGCGTGTCATTATCCAGACAACATGCCGCAGCCGGACGTGCCTATGTTTCCTCTGCAGTGGGGTGTTATGTGGCGACTGAGGGAAGGGTCTGGTAGGGAGCTTACGAACCATTGTGGGTTTTCTCAAAGCCCGGTCGAGAAGCCGCAAGATGGATTTGTTTATCGTTGAAGGCATGTTCCACTCCTGAATCGCATTGGCATCCTTCACTACCTTGTACATCCAGCTAGGTCAACAGCGACGCACGCGATTGTGAATAGACATGGATCACTATACAGGCAGAGCCTCGTAGGAAATTAAATAAAGTCTTATTGAGTTTATCTACTCCTAGAAAGGAGCTATACTATATTATTACTTATATATAATATAAGCTGAATAATACAAATAAAATAACTCCTAATTTAGAACTATTTCTTTTGCTTAGACTTCAATCCTTTATCTGGCGTATTTAAATTAACATACGATCGGCCTTTTAACAACTCTTCTGTCTGTTCAAGCTGAGCTTTGAGAAGTCTTTCTGCATCTTCCTCTTCTTTCTCAGCATTTTCCTTTTGCTCCCTCTTCTCAGCTATCACATTGTTAGTTAGTTATCCTAGCAAATTTGAGATGAGATTGATAGACGTGTATCTACCTTTTGACTTGTGTCTACCTATCAAGAAGAAAGCCGACTTCTTGACCTCGTTCTGCCACTGTTTTGATCCTATCAGCACATCGAAAGGAGCGTCCTGAACAATTACAAAATCGCTCTCTCTTGATAAAACTGAGACCAAAGCTCACGGAATATAGTAAGAACATCAAATTGAAGCACTCAGCAACTTACTAATATCTGCCCTCTATGCTTAGATAACATCATCGTTCAACGTAGGTCTTACCTTACCGGATATTCACAATCAAAGGTGCATTAACATCCATTTAGTGTCCGAAGTATCTCAACTACAGATTCCAAGGAAATCCCAGCTCGAGACTCTCCGAGACTGGCTAACGGACCCCAAAGGAGGTGCTAACTTCCTTGCGAAAACCGGTACTCCGGAACTCTACACCTGGAAACCAAAGGACCCGTCCCAGTATGTTTCCTTACACAAGACGGCTGAAGACTCTGATCCATTTACAAACTTTGTAAAAGAGGTCCTTACATTCATTTTTCACCGCTTGTGTGGTGAGAGGCTGAATGCTGCGAGGGTGGTTGATGTCGAATCCGGTTTGGCCTCATATTCTGAGACCACCGTTGTGAGAGCAAGCAATCTGTTGACAGTTATTGTGTCGTCCGCACTACCAGTTCTTACGATATTTGCCCTCAACAGCCTCCATACAACAACTCAGAGAATTGGTCTCACCGTGGGTTTGACTGTTCTTTTGCAGTCATCCTGGAACTGTTCACCAACGCAAAGAGAGTTGAGATTTTTGCTGCAACGGCTACGTAGGTGGTTCATATCTACTGATATCTAAGACACTAATTCTTGATATAGATTTGCTGCTGTTGAAGTGGTATTTATTGGGAGTGCCTTAAATAGCAAGTAGAAGAACCCAAGCTAGAACGGCAAAGGGATGTCTGCTAGCCTTTTCGAAATATCTATGGCGCGTTTTCTGTAGTGCAATAGATATGTATCTTGGCTTCGGCTGCAAAGCCACGAGAAGAAAGACCGTGCCATGATCTCCATAAGTACTATCCTCAGACCTGTGACAGAACAGTACTTCCAAGCTCACCGAGCTCAACTACGTAGATAACACCCTATTCCTCCTCATATTTCACCCATGTCTTCGTCTTGCGAGTAATCTTCGGTCCACTAATCCACAACGGAACGGCCACAATGAAAAGCACAAAAATGACCAGAGCAATAGTCAAGAACATGAAGTACTTATCCTTCATCCACCAGTCCAGAGTGCTGTAGGATACGCCAAATCCAATGACATTCTTAATAACATTAACCACGACACCAATCTGAATGGCCTTCTTAGGATAGCTCTCAGTGCAATAGGAAATCAGAACGTTGCAGCCTCCGGTGAGATTGGCGTTAAGGATGGCCCAGAAGAGCCCAACGACAGCCCAGTGCCAGCCGCGCTTGAAGCCAACACCTATGAGGGTTGTAGCGACTGGCGTTGCGATAGCAAATGGTAAGAGGACGGGCAATACTGACTCGGGCTTGAACTCGCCATGGCGTCGCAGATGCCTCTCAGCAAGCCAATCCGCCCCGGCGCCACCAAAAGGCATGCCAGCCATCAAACCTAAGAGTGGGGCAATGTTGTACAAACCAACTTGGCCAGACGTCCATAGCCAGGGAGGCTGAGAGAAGGTGATCGAGACAAGAATTGAGGTAGCGATGGTACCGGCGATTGAGAAGCCAAAGAGCAGGACTGTGATGACGACAGCAGGAGACACGAGTATCTTGAATGGCTCCACGACAAGATAGAGGAAGTTCGGTGGTGGATGGTTATGTCTGAGCGTAAGAAAGAATGATCGTCTGAACCAGAGTGCACCGGGCTTGCATGGCTCGAATGTCGCCACTGAAGCCGGACGTGTCTCGTATTGCTGCGCATTACCTACCTCCTCCAAAGGCTTCTTCGGCTCATCGCCTTGTTCTTCATCAGCAGACTCGATGGCGATATCTAAGCGTTCTGGATCACCTGGAACTCGGATGTTGGTAAGAGGCTCTGGGAACATCAAGATCATGACGAGAAGGTTGAGAGCACAGATGCCGCCAAAGATGTAGTTCGGATATCTCCAGCTGCCAAGATTATCGACAGCGTAGCCGGTAATCAGAGGACCGAAGACAGCGCCCGCACCTAAAGCCCAGGTATATACGCTCATGGCTCTGGCGACATACTCGCGTGGGAATAGGAGCACCACAACGACTGGACCTAAGGCCTCCACAACACCACCGCCCAAGCCGCCGATGACACGAGCAGCGAGTAGAGATTCGTACGATTGTGCTCTGGCTTGCCAGAAGAAGCCGGCCGTGAATACTGCAAGACCGATAAGGATGGTGTATCGACTACCGATATATGCGACGGTGGGGAGTGCCCAGATATTCTGATAATCGAGAAAATGTTCAGCGTCGATGGAACTCAAATGAGTTACTGGGTTGGGTCCTATTACTTACTCCGAGACCAATGCAAAGAGTACCCCAGCTTGTAAGCTGAGAGATCTTTGTGCTGCTCACATGCATGTCCTTCACAAGAGGGAGAAGCATGGGAGGGATGGAAGCACCGAGAACTTGACCCATCATGACGAAGAAGGATAGATTACCCATCATGATCAATCGCCACCATAATGGCCATGACTAAAGAGACATGTGTCAGCACTGCGGTGTGAGAATTATAGATGATATCAAAGTGAAGTCAACGAGTTGTATATACAACAAAGAGCTAGTGCTTGACTGCTATGCTGTTGTGCCGGGATGCAGAAGAACTTACCATCGGGCCATCTTTTCGCTGCAAAACGCTATTAGAGGATTGCGCCATGATGTGCTCAGCTTTTCTTTTGTGAAGTGAGAGTAGATCCCGGATAAGGTCGCACAGAGAAATACTCAAAGACTATCGAACGGCGATTTGTAGCAATGGTAGATCTTGTGCCGCCAGGTGAGGGGAAGTCGATGGAGCTCAACGTCAAAGCTGGATGTTGCTTAGAGTTTTATCCACAGCCTGGTTGGAACTCAAGGGCTAGCGATACACGGAAATCCGGGGTAGTGGCCACGCTTATGCTCAAGCCACGAATCTCCATCTAAGTCTCGGAATTCTTATTTATATTCCGACCTGGGGATCCGGGGTATGACCCTGGAGTACCAGATGCTTGTGCAACCAGCTATCGGGATACCCGGCTGAAACCCCCTCCGGCTGCTAGACCCTGTTGGCAGTTGGTTTCCAAGAAGACGATGCTTTCTGCTTGTCTGGACAATCGATATGGGGGTTTCGACCAGCTTCCGACTTTGGGTCGGAAGAGCCGAGACACACCACAATCGTCAAGATGTTCTAACAATACACACAAACCCTTTCTATGTATTAAGAGTATAGGCATTGGTACTCCTGCTATAGCACGGCTTTTCCGGGCTACACTTCTGTGAGTAATGTGCTGCCAAGATCGTTCCGTAAGAGGTCACATGCCCTGCTACCGGCGCCTGGTTCTCTGATACCGATAGGTTGTCTTACATATCTTAAACGCGGGGTATGCGGAAATTAATTACTTGGTTCCGATTTGACCATGGCAAATTGTAGAGAAATTTGAGCATAGAGTAGTTCACAAAGAGTAGTTCATTTGAAGATTTACTGTTACTATTTTCATCTTGCAAAGGTTGAAACCTATCTTCCCTTTCTAACACTATAATCTCATGATGGTCTGGTCATTGCACTAACAATCCATTATAGCATGCTGCTTCATCGTAATCTAGCCACTGAACAGGTTTTATATTGAGCAATCTTGCGTAAGCCTAACCGTTTATCCCATCACTATATGATCACTCTAAGTATTGATACCTAGTTAAACAGGAAAGACTCTAAGTCTACTCCAAGATGAAATTAATACCAGCCAGGAGACTCCCAATGAACGCCTTTGTAACACTCAGAGTCGGAAACATCCAAAAGACGTGGGGTAACCCCTCGTACATGTCGAGCTTGACATTGACCCCTTTACTGCGAAGTTCATGCTCCATTGCTACGTTACCATCTCTCAGAGGGTCTGCGCCACAGGCAACGAGGTAGGTCCGTGGAAACTTTGCGAGGTGCGATGAGAGGAGAGGGAACAACCACTCATCATCAACATGCTTATCTAGACCAGTCGATGCTGTATTGGGCGTTAGTAGATCCTCAGTAATTCTAGTCTGTCTCGTTACGTACCGTTGATCATCTTGGCTGTCTGCCCGTCAATGATAGGGACATCCGTAGCGTTCTCTTCCATGGACTTCATCAAGTGCTGGAGATGCTTTGGCACATTGCCTTCATGAACTGTACCACCAGCCATGTTGATGACTCCCTTGAGTTGTCCCTCCCGCCCAAGTTCAATCAGTCTATGGGCTGTGGCAAGGGAGAGTGTACCACCGCATGAGCTGCCCAGCATGAAGACTCGCTTTTGGTCTCCACCCAACTTGGAGGCGTTTTCGTAGCTCTGCAGCTATCGTTAGAAATACCTCTGAGAGCTTGGTAAGTCAAAGTTACTCACCCACGAGAAGCCGTCAAAGGCGTCCTGGAAAACGACCTCGATATCGACTATTGGTGTAAGACGGTACTCTACAGAGACAATGATGCAAGGGTACATCGATGCAATCAGTCTACACAGGCCATCCTCCATGTTGATGGATCCATCAGAGAAGCCGCCTCCGTGACAGAAAACGCCAACTGGCAACGCTTCCTTGGAGTCTTTCGGCTTGTAGATACGAACAGACACGTTCTCATTAATCTTCTCGTCCGCTATGCTACTTTAGCTGAATAATAGAGCGTGAATGTGCTGTACACTTACCAACCTCAAGCCCATCGTCTCGGGGAGGAGGCAGATGAGCTCTGATGTATTTTCCAATGGCTTCCCCACCAGCTCGATAATTCCCCATGGTCCCGCCGAGGACAAGGCGACCACCAAGCTCTTTCTCCACCTGTGATGGGTCAGCTTTGTGAATGCTTCTACAGTGGAGAGAGTCTAACCTCAAGCCACTCGGGAGCTAAGTAAGGAGCCATTTTGGGATAGTATGGTGTTTCTAGGAAGTTGAAGCTAACAGAGATAGTTGAGATTTGGGCGGGTATGTGTGCTGATTAAACGAAGATTGTGCTGGCAGATCAAGTTGATCAAGTGGATGCCCGTTTATGTCTCTCGCGACACGACAGCGTTCTTCTGTGGTTGCTGGGCCGAACCATCCGAGAATACTCTTCTTGGTACCTTGTCGCAGCGAAATGTTGACGCCTGGAATGCATCGCTCCGACTTCAAGAGTCGGCGGTCGGATGGATCTCGGTTTGGCCGATACGAAAAAGGGGGGGCGTGTCGGAAGTTCCGAACTTCACGAATAGCTACGTGACGATCCTAGCAATCACACGATGCAACTTCATGATTGCCAATCAGACTTCAGAATAAAATCTACAACCTTGCATCTCGATACGGCACTTACAGTCCTGGCAGATTTCCAACTACCGAACAATCACAAAGCTCGAAAGTCAATATGAACAAGTGTATCTTTGTCGACAACTCCTGCGGACTTTCTATTCGCGACATACCAGAACCGTATCATCCCAAAGATGGCCAAGCCCTGGTCAAAGTCGAATACTCAGGCATCAATCCAGCCGATCTCAATCACCCAAAGGATCTGGGCATGAAGAACAACGTATGCGGCTATGAAATCTGTGGTACTGTCATAGAAGCTGGAAGGACTAGTCGCTACGCAGTAGGGGACGTTGTCTTTGGATCCAATCACCCAGGACGTTCTAAGCCAGGATATCATGGCGGTCATCAAGACTTTGCCATTGTGGAGTCAAACTTGATGTCTGTCAAGTTACACCCTCAGCTCCCTCGGCCAGATGCTGCTGCTCTCAGTATCATGGTGCGCTCAGCAGCAGATGCGTTGCTAAATCACTTCGAGATCCCGTTTCATGCTATAGGTATTTACGGGCCACCTCCTACTGGCGCTTTGTTGGTTTGGGGCGGTGCGAGCAGCGTCGGCTGCGCAGCAATACAGCTTGCAAAGGCTATGGGAGTGAAATGGATATTCACGACTGCTTCGCCTGCCAATCACAAGACTCTCCTCGAGCTCGGCGCAACAAAATGTTTCAACTATCAAGACCCGAATGTCGTTGATGCAGTCAAGACTGCATGTGAAGAAGCCGGTGCCACCATAAGATATGTTCTAGACACTGTATGCAAGACAAGCAGTCCTGGAACCATTCAGCAGTGCGAGTCCATCTCTACAGTACCAGATGTCACATTCGTCAGTACCCTTCCCCAATTCACCAAGCCGCCACGATGGAGAATGATTCTCGCTTCGAGGGAAGTCGACAATCCTGTCCCGTTCGAGTTTCCTGGGGGTAATAAAGCAAATCCGGTATGGGAGGCTCGTCTAGAGAGGACGGTCGTTTGGGCGGCAAAGAACTACGGGACACTATTCCGGATCCCCAATATTGCTATCGTGGAAGGGGCCGAGAAGGGAATACAGGCTATCAAAGACGTGAACAAAGGGAAGGTCAGCTTGACCAAGGTTGTCATCAAGCACCCGCTTTAGGTTGTATTGGTCATGTATACTATCTCCCATTCATAGTATTTAGGTATATGTATCTCACATATAGCTATTGTTGGCAGGCCAGTTTCTGTTCGTCCCAAATAGCCCGAATATACTATCACCAAGAGTTTGCAGATCGCCTAGTCACCAATTAATTCATCTCTATCACGCTTTCGGATGCCATTAACTTACCCAATTCACCACATTGTGGATCCTCCAAGAGCTGCCCCATATCGATATCTCCAAAGTCTTGTAACAGCGGCGTGTTGCTATCTTTAGGCATGTGAAGCCGCTCCCCAATCCTAATAAGTTGCTCAAAAGTAAAGGACAAATTCCCACATGCAAAGTTTCGACACTTGGATACCTGAAGTACTCTGATCGCTTCTTGGAATGCGTCTCTACTCTCTGGCCCGTAGGTTTCTGGATCTTGAGAAACGACCAGCAGGATTATAGCCAGTGACGACACGGTAAAGTACTCGTACGAGGTTCGAAGAAACTTCAAAGGCACTGCCTTGTTGATTACGCCGGAGCATAGAAATATGGTCGCTTTGGCGCACTGGATACAGACTGCTGCAGCTGCTGTCTTGTCGCGATCGCCTTTGTAGGAGTGAAGGAGAGGTTTGCGTAGTAGTATTCGAGAGTGACAGATGCGTATTTCTAGAAATGTTTCTAGGTCATTCATAAGGACTTCGTTCTGGAGAGGATACCAAGGGTGACTAGGTAAAGCTGTAGATCGGGCTGCTGCCGTGAGGTCACGGAATTGATCGCGTAGCCGCTGTATCTTAAAATCAACGTACTCTTTTTGTTGGCGGCCCTCTACAGCGCTCTTGCTTGAAGCTTTTAGCAGTCCTAGGATCTTCGAGTTGAGGCGTGTGTATTCCATGTTTACGACCAGGAATGGAGCTGATGTTCCCTTGTTGTGAGTCAGAAGGAGTAAACCTACGGGTCCAGGTCGACTGTGACTCACAAGATCAAAGCATTTCTCGTCTATGTCTTCGTCCTTGGTAGTATGAGGAAGGTCAGTTGCGAAAGAAAACGTCCTGTCTAGTACGTATACACAGCAGAATAATTGTCGCGGGGAGAAAGAACCAGGAACTTCGGCGGTCTGCGGCGCTTCTTCTGGCGCTCGATGAAGACCCAGTTCGAAACATGTTCTCGATGCTAGACTGACGAGTCGCCATGCCTTCATATGTTCCGATTTATGGAATCAATACAAGCCCTAGAGGTTTACATCTGTCAGCAAGTGAGAAATGTGATCCGAATATGGGTCGTACCATCAAAGTAGCCATGACCACATCGCCAATAGTTGGGCCTCTGCTCATCAAAGCCTTTTCCACTGACCAATCGACGTAGCGTTGAAGGTGCCGTGCCAAAGGGCTTACGCTATCATCTTCAATAAGCAGAGTTAGCCCGAGAAGGGTTTTAAGAACATCTATTTTCGTCAGGTTGATCGATGTCGGTTGTGAGGTATGGCTCGCTGATCGCCCGAAGACTGCATCCAAAACCAGTTCTGTCGAGTGCAGATCAACACATGGATAAATCGGATAAATGGTTTCCGCAAAGGTGATGAACAGGTTTCGAGCTTTCTCGTAACCCAGCTCCAGGATTGGTTTCAAGCAGTCGTCACCTGCAGAAGCAAGGGTTTGTTCTAATGTCAAGCATGGTTTACTCGTTGAACCTTGGACTTGCTTCTCAACTTGGTCCACGATGCCATTAGCTTCGAGGCATGATCTTGCTAAGCTGAAGGTATCAACAAAACTTGAGCGGCGAGCTGTAGGTGATCTTTCGGTGTTTGCAGGACTTTGCAGCGAGGCACCTGGGTTAATACTGGTTTGCGCGGGCTGACGCGCTGTTTCATTCAAGGTGACGCCGCCATCAGCCACAGATATACGGGGCGTGGTTCCGTCCTCAGTTGCTGGGGAGTATTCCATCTCTCTAGATAAATCAACTGATTAGATCCATTCTGTCTGGACATTTGATCTGAAGTCCTACAGGCTTATTTCTGTAGGCATTGGGCTCATGCTGGGTATGTTGCCACGGCGTGGGTAGGTACAATTCACGCCACGCTTGGTACAGCGCTGACAGGGCCATTGGCCGTCACATTTAACTTTTCGAGACTTGCAGAGCATACTTTAGTCATTGTGTTAGCATCTTGTAGGTATGGATAAAGGGCTATAAAATACCAGGCGACCAGAGCGTATTCGTTGCGCTTCCGGCGCCCGCCTCGGGTGATTCGTTGGGTTTCTGGTGCATCGTTGCTGGCGTCAATTGGCAATGACATGGTCATGGCAGCTCTAGCTTTTAAAGTTGGTATGTTGTTTAGAGTTCGGTTGGGTTGCATCGCAGTTATAGAGCGAGTTAGTAGGACAATCCCCGGATCACGTGGGCAACCCCGCGCTCTAGTCTCGGGAACCCCGTACAAACTAAAAGTTGCAGTCTTCTTTCACAGGGGGTTCACTTCGTTTTAGTGGTCTGGGCCACTCACTAGACTGAAATTGGTACCGTGATTTAAGCAATTGGATGGAAACTAGAAGTCTGTGTTGGCTGCGGTCATGAGAGGCCTTTATACTCTGCCATGATGAACTGCTCCTCTAAGCTCTTGCTACCTCCGCTCATCCCTGATAGACGACGAATGACGAAACTATCTAGTCAACAGTCGTTACTGTCTTTATAACTACAATCCGTTTGCTGCATTTTGTCGCATCACCTCCATCGCTTTATCCATGAGGCCACAAGCTTCCTTCCATGTTGGCCTCAAGCTGACTATCTCCCACCAGCTTCTCAGATGCGGCAACTCAGCAAAAAATATGTCAGCTCCCTTCAAATCAATCAGCTGTGACACCCATGGCATGGACCAAATGTCGACCAAGGTAAATTCTGCGCCACCGAGATAACTGCGGCTCGACAACATCCCGTCCATGGCCTTCAGTGCGCCATCTAACTCGTTCCAAATATCCTCCAGTGCCTTTTTCTCTACTCTTGGTATACCGAGTATCCTGTTGGGAGCGGTAATTAGAAATGTAATCAATAATACGGAGTAGACGATACGAAAATAAAGTTGACTTACGGTTTGATGATGATATCTCCGCAGTATTTCCATGCTGTAGTGGAAAAATAGCAAACCTCCATTGAGGCAGCCTCTTCAAATGAAGCCAGACCGTCTACATCGGAGATTTCTGGCATCAACGAGTTTCCGTGATCAGAATACATGGCAGCGATATAACGGGCAATCGCGCAGCTTTCTACATAATCTCAGTAAGTGCCATAGACTCCGCAGGGAAGATAAATCTTATACCACAGATTCGAAGGACTCTCTCGCCTCGGTCGTTCAGTACGTCTAAAATTGGCACTTTGCCAAAAGGATGTAATTTGCGGTGGTCAGGAGTCTTATAGCCGATTAGTATAATGCAGAGTAGTTAGTTCTGTAGACTTTCTCGTCCACGTACCCGAGTCTTAAACTTCAGAATGTCGATATGTTTGTACTCCCAGGTAAGACCTTTCTCGAGCAATACATGTGCGGTTGTAACTGTATATGGGGAGACATAATCGCCATGCAACACCAGTGTAGCTGACCTGCGCGTATCCAATTAGTAAACGCAAGAGATCGCAGTTGAAATGGGTCGATGAGCTGCCTTACATTCTAACGATAATTCTTTAGAAATTCTTTATGAGGCTTTGAGGAAGAAATGACATAAGTTCTCATGATCATAGAAGTCAATAACTTCGCCTTCTTCTGCATTTCATACATAATCTCACTATCATCGCGATCCGAAAAACAAAGCCCCGTGCTCCAAAGTCCGGGGTAGGCAATTGTGGGGTATGGGGATCGGTAGTTCCGAGCTTGACTAGTCTGTATTTAGCTAGCCTCCGAGCTCGTTGATCCCTTGCTTGCTTACGCGTTTGGCGTCGGACCAGGTTCATCTCTTCTTGTCTCTGCTTTGAGTCTTCATCTGGTTGGAATTTTAATGTCGGAAATTTGATCACGATTTTCGAAGAGTAGATAGTGACTTCGTAGGCATAGTCGGCAAGGCGAAGCTGCCATGCTAGAGTTCCATTTGTCGGATAAGCCGCTCTTCATCTTGTGTACGATGGAAGTTCCGAGCTTTCTCATCTGCTGACTACAATCGAAACCATAGGCCGTATTTCCTGAAGGTTCAATAATCGTTTCACTCGCATGTAGTTCGGAGAATATGGGCATCAATTTGTATAATACAGCTTCCAAAACCGTCTAGTTAGTTGAAGCAAAAAAACATCATTTTAGAACGCTTTAGACCGATATTTATTATTATCTTTACTAACCATGAGCCCTGATATCCCTGACTCGCAAGACTTGGTCAACAGGCTGACCCAGGCCCAAGTTTGGAGTCAGTACTATCAGAACTACAATCCAGACTACAAAATCTCGGACAAGACTTTTGGTGACCCATGTTAGTCAAAACCTTTCTCTTACGTACTACTCATGCTGACATATGTCCTCCAAGCCAATCGTAAGATCCGAGTTATCAGTATAGGTGCCGGTCTCTTCGGCATCAATCTCGCATACTGGATCTCTGTCAAGTGTGAAAACTTCGACCTCACCGTATTCGAAAAGAGTAGTGAGCTCGGAGGTGTCTGGAACCATAACAGATATCCCGGAGTTGCCTGCGACGTCCCATCTCACGTGTATCAGTACAGCTTTGCACCGAACCCAGATTGGCCCCGATTTCTGAGCCCGTAAGTTGCAAGGCCCAGCAGATCACTGCATACTGACTGAGTAAAGAGGTCAAGACATCCAGAAGTACCTTCAGAAATGCGCCACCACGTTTGACCTTGATAAGTATATGAAGTTTAATACTAGGGTTCTGAAGGCCGAATGGCATGAGGAGGGTTTCTGGCGGGTCTTTTTGCGGGAAGAGCTACCGAATGGCGACTGTCGAGAGTATCACCAAGATGCCGAGATTCTGGTGAACAACTCTGGAAGTCAACATGTTTATCAGTGGCCCAAAGTTGAGGGTCTTGATAAGTTCAAGGGAACGGTGAGTCTGCAGAGTTCGTGTGCTGATTCTTTGTACTTACGGATGTTTAAGTTGCTTCACACTGCCGGATGGGATGAGCGATTTGATGAGGAGGCGTGGAAGAATAAGACCGTTGCTGTAATTGGGAGTGGTGCCTCGGCAGTACAGGTAGTTCCCAGAATGCAGGTAAGTCACTACCACTCTCAGTCAACCCCGTAGTGTTGCTGACATCCAGCAGCCTCATGTTTCCAACATGACTGTCTTCTCTCGCACTCCAATCTGGTTTGCACCTGGACTCGCAGGTGACGAGTTCAGCCCCGAATGTACGTCCAATTTTGCCTTTAGTGATCATGTCTCGGATACTAAATGTGCTACAAGACTCACCTGAAGATCGAGAAAACTTCAAGAAGGACCCTTCCAAGCTTCAGGCTCATGGAAAGAGCATCGAGAGACGTCTCAATGGCCTCTTTCCAAATTTCTACAGCGGCACTGATTACCAGAGGAATGCCATCAAGTTCTTTTACGATCAAATGAAGATCAAGATCAAGGATCCAAGGCTTCTCCAGGGTGAGTTCAGGGAACATCAGATTTAGCTACATGCTAATCCGCTTCCAGGCTTTACTCCTGAATTTGTCCCCGGGTGCCGTCGTATCACTCCAGGTGACCCTTTCATCTACGCAGTCCAAGAGCCAAACGTCGAGGTCGTCTTTAAAGGAGTCGCGAAACTTACGGAAGACGGGGTTGTAGATACAGATGGCGTTGAACGAAAGGTTGACGCCGTAGTCTGTGCGACTGGTAGGTCTGTTCGAGAAGATCTGATTATAGACATTCTGACCAAAGCCAGGCTTCAATGTCGACCTCATCCCACGATTCGAAGTCATCGGGCCAAACGGGCTCCGTATATCCAAGTTCCTTCAACAGAGTCCAGACAGTTACATGTCAGTCGCCTTGGCACAGTTCCCGAATTACTTCCACGGCAGCACTGGCGCCTACTGGCCCTCTGCCAACGGATCTCTCATCGGACCCATGGACGCAGTCGCCAACTACGTAGTACAAGTCGTTCAAAAGCTACAGATGGAGCACAATATCATCAGCGTGGTTCCCAAGCAAGAAGCGATGGATGACTTCGTCGAACATGCTCAAACATGGTTGAAAGGCTGTGCGTGGTCAGGGGACTGTCCGGCTTGGTACAAAACAGAGTCTGGACCGTTAAAAGGACGAGTTAACTTGATCTGGCCAGGTATTACACTGCAGTTTGTCAGAGCTTTGAGTAAGGTGCGCTGGGAGGACTATGATATCAAGTATGCTGCCAGTGGGAAGAAGAGCACCAATCGATTCTTGTATCTTGGCGATGGACTTGTTAAAGAGACCTTTGATCCCGAGATGGATGACTCGCCGCATATTCACCTTGGCGCTATTGACCCTCGATGGGCGAAGGCTGCTGGCTTGACATTTATCAGCGGGATGAGATCGTTTAAGGACTCTGAGGTACATGTCAATGGTTATACTACAGACAAGTAGATAGTGTGGTTTCAAATCAGACTGCTTGAGGTTTACATATCTTGAGTGGGCGACAGCCACTATTTCGCAAACTCGCGGTGGGCTTCTGCCTCATAATCTGCCGGTGATAAGTTTCTTAAATCCATGACGATGCATTAGCTGACATGGCGAAGTCCGGGTTACATAATCATCTACTGGTACTCGCACTAATGCAGGTCAGCTCCAACTTGAAGTATCTACCGGATGTAAGAACCTAAATCCCTTCAATGATTCAGTTTAGTAACAGGGCTTTAGGGCTTTCATGGAGCATAGTATCTCTTGAAGGCGAAAATAAAGGTATAAGTATCAGGTTCTCCACGGATGTAACGGCAATGCTTCACTTAATTATCTTCTCAAGAACAGCTTCTCTCCACCTCCATCTGTATGCAAATCTGCTTCTTTCTTTCTCCTCCAGCCTCAGATTCGTCCAACCATGAAGTTCTACGACGCACAAGCTCCAAATCCCTTCGCCGTCCGCCTATTCGTTCTTGAGCGCGGCGGCCTAGAGTTCGACGTCCAGACCATCGACATCATGAACCTCGAGAACCGGCGGCTCGCATACCGCAGCGTGAACCCGCGAGGCGAAGTCCCAGCCTTGGATATCGACGGCTTCATCTTGACCGAAACCACCGCGATATGCGAGTATCTCGATGAAGTCGCCAAGAGAGGCAAGTCCCTATTCGGCGACACGGCCCTCGAGCGTGCTGAGACCCGCATGTGGCTTCGGAGGATGGATCTCGAACTGGCTCAGCCTATTATTGCCTGGTATCGGAACGACCCTGATACCATCGACTTCTACAAGGGCAACCGAATCCCAGTACCTGAGGCTCGCGTAGTCCAGAAAGTCACCATCAATCAGTTCCTGAACCTCCTCGACGACCAACTTGAAGGCAAGGAATACCTTTGTGGTTCACGATTCTCAGCTGCCGACATCCACTTTTATGGACTACTCAAGATGATGGTTATGCAAGTCGCTGGATGGGTCCTTAGTCCTGGGCGTAAGAACGTGGTGGCGTACTTTGAAAGGATGGATGCGCGAAAGGCTAGTCAGCAGGCTCTTGAGCCATTCGAATCGAAAGTGTCAGTATAGAAGAGCACTAGGTAGAGCTGACTTAGATATTATATAGTTACATGAGTTATCGCGTCAGCCCACTCAGCTTTTAGTTACTCGAATGGTGTGGCAATGATGCAACTGTGACCAGCCTGGCAATGCAGTGCTAATAAGGCCAATTAAGGGTACATATGACCGGAAAATCTCACCATCATAAAGCTCTCTGGTGGCGGACGGGAAATGCTGCTATTACTGTTATTGTTATTAGTTCATCTTGTCACAAAATTTCATTTGTGATTCACCCACTCACTGACACCCTGATCCAGCTCCCTAAACCCCCGCATTCAGTCAGCTCCACCAGTTTGTGTCCGCAGAGCGAACGACTCTGCATGTTCCATACAAGCATGTAGAGAAGATTCGACCCAGTTTGTGTGGCCCCCGCATATACCAACCCGAAATATGCAAAATATTGTTCTAGTCCTCATGTTAATAGTCGATGAGCACTCTTGACATCTGCAAGTCTATTGATATTGGTGGTGATGCGCTCGGATAAAGTGGCTAACAGAGGCGACTCTCTGAAAAGGCGGTAGATGGTTGTAGCCAATGAAAATGGAGCTCTAGCTCAATAGAGGGAAGAGGAGTCTTACGCAGCCTGATGACTGTGCGTTGTAACTTGTGATAAAATCCGATAGCATGTTAGTGCTTACGGACCGATGCTGTGTAACGAATAACGCGTGTCTACACCAATCACAGCTTGCCGTGTCATAGAACAGGTTGAAAATACATTTCCAACTTAACAATTTGGTCTTAGCGCCGCCGCCATCATCTGACAACGTCTAGATTCTTTTAGAGTCCATCAAGCGCACTTGTTTTGTTATCAAGTTCAGACTTAATGCTTCGACAGAAATCGGCAATATTTCATCCAGGCTTCTATACTCAATGACCTTCTATCCTCTACCATGTCAAATACTCTCACCTTGTCATCTGCGGTTGTTGCGGGCGGCCCGTTTGAGCAACAAGGCTCTATCGACTGGGTCCAGATCGCCAGGATGTCAATTTCTGTGCCAATCTCCATTCTCGCACGCGTCACAGCTGCCGATGTTTCTCCTCTCACGATCGTCGTGGGGCAAGAAATGTCATCCCTCATCCGTTTGTCCCCCACTGGACATGACCGTCTCATTCGAGCACTTAGGGACTTGAAGAGTTTCTCTGCCATAGGAGATGTCATTTGGTTTGGCTTTGGAATCAAGCATATAGTACGAGTCCTTGCGGAGACTGACAAAGGGCTGACTTGCCTCATGCTCTGTGCGTGTCTTTCTGAAATTCACCCACCAAAAGCCTGTGCCGAAATCATGATCAGATTGGCTGATGCTTGTGACGCCCCCGATCATCTACGTCCCTCTGCCAGCCAATGGTTGAATCTGGTAGGAGCTTGCTCCGGAACCCTCAAGTCAACGACCTTTGCATGCATCGCTGAGCAGTTCATGTCATTTCACCACCCTTACGTGAACGATGGATACATGGATGAGGCTGCAGATGTTGCTAGAGCTTTGCTCGCTGTGGCACGTGTTTCTTCCGGTGTGCTTACCTCGGTAACATTGACAGGTGGTCGGTCCTGCGGATGGATCGCCGCTATTGGGTTCTACTTCCTCGGCCTCGAGATCGAGATCCGAAGTGCCGATAATGCTACGATTTACAAGTCCACGACTAATGATGATTCAATCCGTCTGTTGGTCATTTACGGGACAGCAGAGTCATCCACTCACGTCCAGGTCAATAGCACCGCGTACTTCATCAACTCTGTTGATAAGGTTGTGTACAGCTATGAGCAGCGGTGTGACCGCATTATTTCTGGGACCATTCCATGGAATAGTTGTCTTCTCACGACGTTTGGGAGCTCTTTCGAGAAGCTTCTCGATGCTAAGCAAGACTTTGGACGTCTGATCGGAGCTGCCGCTTGCGTCTTTCAAGCCTTGGTCAATGCTGATACAGGTACTATATTCAATCCTCAAGATTGCATCAGTTGGTTTGGCTTTCAGCCGGGCCAATACGGACATGGCTTTTCCTATTCTGCGACCTCAGTATTCCCTGAACTCTTGTCCCTGGGTCCATACATTGATGCCGACACGAACATGTCTGTTGACAATTATGTTGAGGCTTATAAGCAAGCCTCGGTGAACTTAGCAAACCTCTGTAACTGTTATTACTGTTCCGGAGATCGATCCAGACCCAGGAGGGGTTATTGTCTTCCTGTGTTGGCCGAGACCATTATCTTCCTTATCTGGAATCTTTCTGCTCTCCAACTCCACGCCGATCTCAAGCCTTACCACTCTGGCCTAAGATTCATTTACCGACTACAAGTCGGCAGCGCTATGGCTGACACTAGTTTCGGAAAAAGGTATGGAGCTGGTACTCGGCAAGATCCTTACTGGGGAGATATTGTTCAGCTCGTGCGGCTCCTCGACCTTGCTTCGGTGTACCATACTGCGCAATTTCTTCTTACCAACCATTTGTATCCTGTTCAAACACACAAGGCATTTACTGCCACTTCTGTGGGGGGAATATGCTTTTACTTTGACATCTTACGAAATGTATCGGATCGGCCGGAAGAAGCAGTGAAACTGCATGTTGTACCCGGTGTCATCCAGACGAATGCTGGACGGCAATACTCGTTCATTGCCGATAAAACAGGCACAAGGTCTTATGGACTTTTAGGGTTAGACTGGAGAGACCGACATGTACCCCGAGATGTACTCAATACTCTCGCGCAGTACAGAATCGACTACCAAGCTAGGGCGACAGGCACCCTGAGTGGCAACATAGCTCTCCCCATACTTTTTACCGACACTGGAAGCTCTGATCTGACGGTCAAACTCTTAGTCGAGGAGTCTACTGGTGGCCTGCTTGTTGATCTTCACTTCCTGGGTAGCGCGGGAAGCTGCCGTGTCGGTGCCTACACCATGCTAAAGGAGATCATCGAGAGCGCGGGGCGAGTCCAGTGCACTTACCATAACTGCTCCAGGCTGGATCAAGTTGATTGCAGCATACGTGGTATAGACGGAGAAGGCTATGTGCCTGATAGCCTCGGACAGATAGGTTGCCTCCAACCGATAATTTACCTCCGAAGACTTGCTGGCAATCCTTTGGCGAGATGTGTCGGACTCTTGGTTAACGGGAGCAGGGAAGAAGTGCGCATATTACGGCAGCGGGAGTGTATACCATGCTGCATCAAGGCGGCAGCCGATCTACGAGGTGGTCATCGGACGTGTCCAAGTTACGTCATTCTTTAATCTTGATCTGGTTTTAATGGATCTATCACTAGAAATCTATAGGCTTCGATAACTATGATATAGAAGATGTCGTTACAGTGTTCATCCACTGATAAAGCAGCCGAGTATGACGAATCCACCAACATACAAATTTACATAACAGCACATTCTCATACAATTAATTGAATCAGGCCCCTAGATTTGCGCTTGGAATTAACAGGGCTTCAAAGGTCAAATTACACCTACAGCGGACATACGTCATAATAGCCAACAAATCCTGCAGAAGATTTATGTTAGTTTGACTTGGTCGCTGTAATATTAACGGAAATGCAAAATAGGCCAAGGTCTTACACGCGCTTTCTCTGCAAGTTGACATATAGTTACTAAGAGTAGAAACAACAAGAACCCACGGTTTCCAGCTGTTCTGCCTGTAGCTTCTGAAATTCAGCTATACATGCTACTGCAGGCCGTAAGAGAGGGCACCTAACGTTAGACTACGAAGATGCATTGCCGCATTGGTCATCTGCCTCCATATTTATTTATTACTCCTAGAATACTGCGTCACCAGTGGAGCTATCGCTTAGCCGGCAGCCCGATGTTCGGTAGGCAAGCGTAATTATTCCGATTGACAACGGATATTTCGGACTTCTGAGGTAAATAGTCTAGCCGTAAGCCGAATCACTAAATGCATATAACTTCCTCTCAAATATTATCTTTCTATTTCTCCAAGTCTACCAGCAATCAGCATTACCTCTATACATTTTACAATGTCTTCCAAGCAGCCAGATATCACTCTTTACTTTCTCAATGCAAGCCGAGCGATCCGAATCGCCTGGCTTCTAGAAGAGCTGGATATTTCGTACAAGTTGGTCACCTCGCCAAGAGCAGCCAATGGTCTAGCGCCGCCAGAGTTCAAAGCTAAGATTCCGACTCACCTTGGAAGTAGTCCTGTTATTCAGGATGGGGATCTGGTCATCCAGGAAAGTGGTGCTATCTTGGAGTGAGCAACTTTACTTTCCACTCTAGAAGCTTGGCGATCGTCTGTATACTGATTCCTATAGATATCTCATCGAGTCATATGACTCTACGTCACGGCTGTTGCCTCAGGAAGCACATGCTAGAGCAAGTGTTCGGGAATGGATTCAAGCTTCCGAGGGTACTTTCATGATGAGTGCTGTTCCAGTAAGTTTTTCTACCGATGCTTAACGGAATACTTCAATTAGCATTAAAATATTTTGAGATGATTCACTAACGCCAATAGATTATCTTGGCCCGTATGGGAATGCCAAAAGAGGCTGCACAGTATGCTTCGGGGCTAGAAGCTGCGATTGCGCCAATGGTGCGAGGCGCAATGCAGTGGCTAGAAACGGAACTTGAATCAGGCCCTAGCAAGGGCCAATTCATTGTCGGGTCAGATCTTACTGCTGCGGATATCATGATGGGATTCAGCATCGAGTGCATTTTCGCCATGAAGCTGGGAACAGAAAGTCAGGATTGGCCACTGATCAGTAAATGGCTAGCGAATATGAAGGAAAGGAAGGCTTATAAGACAGCAGTTGAGAAGACAGGCTACTCAATGTAGTTTCTTATTGATAAACTAATCTTATAATATTTTATATTCATTACTCAGCCTTGCGTTTCATTTCAATCTTAGGTTTACTTCGGGAATATTACAGTTTTTACACCATTAAATCAGCAGTATTAATACATAGTTCTAGTTTAGGTTTTCTTATAAAAAACCTAAGTACAAGACAATATACCTGGGAACTAACTACTAAATTAATATTTAGAGCCGATCAGAGACTAAATATAGAGCATCCTAATAATAACAATAATAATTTATTAGACTATTCTAGATTAATTAATAGATTTAAATATTACGAAAATAAAGATAATTTCTATCAATAATTAGTAGGTTTTACCGATAGTGATGGAAGTTTTTCGATTGTCAGAGTAGCTGAAAGAAAATGAACGCAAGTGTTATACTGTGATTTTACCGGTCTAGGCTCAAGATATCTCTCTCTTTATGTTGACAGTATTCCAAAGTGATCCGGCACCCTAAGAATCCTCACAGGTGGAGTAGACACGATTGCTGTAGCTTGTACTATAGTCACGCTTACTGAGCATTACGAACAAACCTATTAAGCGTCACTTTGATCGACTAGTTGCAAACAGGGATCAACATACGATCACTCTAATCTAGTGACTCGTGTAGGCCTGACGATCTTTTGTCACTGTGTTTACATCCCAATCGTAGTAGTGAAACCGCCAGATCAGTACAAAAGTCCACATAACCCAAGCCTCAAATACTATCTGCGCTATAATCTACCCAAGAAAATAGAATTTAAGCTTCCTCTTTCGTCTCCCCATATCAATTAAGTCTAAACCTATCCACCAGTCACATCCCTCACTTACCGCTCAGATACTCAACCCGCCATGTTTCCAACCCCGCTCCAACGCCAAGAATTCACAAAGTCCCCCTCTAGTTTTAGCGACCTGCCACAAAGAGCAATGCCGATGCACAAGCGGCCCGTACAAATGCAACCTTGCGTCAACGGCATAACGTTTGATTCTGGAAGGTCAAGTCGCAGTTATGCTTAATCTGAGGGATCGGAACTTATGATCTGTGATAGGCGGTATGGTGTAATATATCTCCTGCCGCGAAAGGTCACGGAGCAAATAGTGTCGTGACGATTGATGGGATGGGGGTACAGCGCCTTCCTAACACAGCCTTCGGAGGAAGATCATTGTTTTCTATATAAGTTGGTATTTCCATGATCGACGTTGGAGTTTTAGCCAAGCTCACAAGTCACTCCAGCTTCAATCTCATCACCTTGATTACTGCCATCATGCGTGCTTCTCTTGCTCTTGCAACCCTCATCGGGTTGTCAAATGCCGCTGCCATCGACCCCCGCAAAGGGGCTGAGCCCCTCTACAAGATTGAGCTTGCACCTGGTGAATTCCGCATGGTCACCGAGAAGGAAAAGTTGGCACTGAGAGCTGTATGTCCCACGGCCTCCCACAATCTCTCACCGAGTCTAACCATCGCAGGAACACAAAACCTTCATTGATGTCACCGACCTTGATGAGCCCGGCTTCAGCCTCCAATTCCTTGCCAGCTTCCCCAGCGCCGTCGCTCAGACATCTGCCGTCAACGCTCTCATTCCTAAGCTGAGCCAGACAAACATGCGTAGCACTTTGACAGAGTTCATCAAATTCCAGAACAGATACTACAGGTCCACTTATGGCCAGCAGTCTGCTGAGTGGTTGTTTGGCCAGATTCAGTCTATCATCACTGCTAGTGGAGCTAAGAACGTCAAGGTTGAGAAGTTTACTCACTCTTTCCAACAACCTAGCATTATTGCTACCATCACTGGAAAGAGTGCCAACACTATCGTTGTCGGTGCTCACCAGGATTCAGTCAATCTGAATAGCCCCACCAGTGGACGGGCTCCCGGTGCTGGTGAGTCGTCCTTGACATTTCATTGACATTGGCTAATGAGTACAGACGACGATGGCTCTGGAACCGTCACCATCCTTGAGGCCTTCCGTGTCCTCTTGACCGACTCCCGTGTATCAACCGGTCAAGCCCCTAACACGATTGAGTTCCACTGGTACGCCGGTGAAGAGGGCGGTCTTCTCGGAAGTGGTGCTATCTTCCAGAAGTACAAGCAGGACGGTCGCCAGGTCAAGGCTATGCTCAACCAGGATATGACTGGCTACGTCAAGCCCGGTACCACCGAAGTTGTTGGCATTCTCACCGACAACGTCGATGCTGGACTGACTACCTTCCTCAAGAAGGTTGTCGCTGCTGTAAGTTTTAACTTCCCATTCGCGAAGCTTGTGCTAACTGTAAATAGTACTCCAAGCTCCCCACTGTCGACTCCAAGTGCGGATACGGGTGCTCTGACCATGCCTCCGCTACCCGCCAAGGCTTCCCCTCTGCTATGGCTTTCGAGTCTACTTTCGACAACAGCAGTCCTTATATCCACGGCACCACTGATACTATTAACACCGTCAACTTTGGCCATGTTCTTGAGTTTTCCAAGATCTGCCTTGGCTTTGCTTATGAGCTGGGCTTTGCTACTACCCTCTAAGCGACGGGTCATCAATGAATAACATCCCATGAATGGGAGGGCCAGTTCAGACACGGGTAGCTCAGTTTCGTGTAAATAGATTATGAATTGATACTGCACATATCGTCAATTATGTAGTCCAGCTCCGCCATTTACATTGTGCAATGACAGTTCCCAATTTGTGTATGACGCGGACAAGCATCGGATATCCGAGATCTGAGGCTGGCTTACGCCAAGTCCAAATAGGAAACACTCATTGGGTATGATTGGGTACAGCTCCTGTGGATGCGGTGTAAGCACACCGTTCCAGCGCCAAAGTTGATGTCGGTAATCCACTGAATCCCCGAATCTGGCTCATTTCATCATTCGGGAAACCCTCAATTGTGCGCAAGTTACTTATAAAAGATCTTCATCCACGATAAACATGTTCTGTATCTTCCAATATCAGTATCTTGAACTTCGAAAAGACCCAGCTACTCAGAATGTCACCAATTCACAGCACGTCATTCACCATCCCAAAGGGATCAACAATCCTCGTCACTGGTGTTAACGGCTTCATCGGCTCCCACGTCGCCAACGAATTCCTACAGCGCGGATATAATGTCCGAGGAACAGCCCGCAATACATCCAAAGCGGCATGGATCAAAGACTTGTTCTATCAACAATACGGCAAAGACAACTTCTCACTCTGGCCTGTTGCCGATTTGACTTCTCTTCATGCATTTGACACGGCGATAAAAGGTAGGCGAAATTGGCGAAAACTACCTCATTAGCACGCACTAACATTTTCCAAGGCGTTGCAGCGGTAGTGCATGTCGCTTCACCACTAGGCCTTGACTCCGGCACTGGGACCATGATACCCGATGCCATCGCTAGCGCCCTGAATGCTCTAAAAGCAGCCAACAGTGAGCCAGGTGTAAAGCGCTTCATGTACACCAGCTCTTCAACCGCAGCAGTCTTCCCTGAGGCAGGGGTCCCAGTTATGGTGGATTCGAATACCTGGAACGACAAGGCACTCTCGATCCTGCAGAAGTCAACCTCGGCACCTGAATGGTATGTTGCGTATGCCGCTAGCAAGGTTGAGGCGGAGCGAGCCGTATGGGACTTTTATCACAATGATGTGGCGCGTCGTTCGGATCTGGTGGTCAACACAGGTAGGCAGTCCATATCAATTATTCAACGACATCGCTGACAAATAACAGTACTTCCTAGCACAAATTTTGGCAAAAGTCTGGATTGGAAGCATCAGGGATACCCATCAACATCAGGCTTCATCAGGACTCTATGGAGTGGCACTGCTCTCGATTCACTGACCAATGCGTCGCCTCGTAAGTTGCCCCAATTGCATCCTGTCGAGAAGCATAACTGACAATGTGCAGAATATTTTATTGATGTACAAGATGATGCGAAGCTTCACGTTGCGGCCACTCTGTTACCCGATGTACAAGGGGAAAGGATCTTCCCTTGGGCAGAAACGTGGAATCTAGACCAAATCCTAGCCATCCTACGGGCGCAGAACCCTGACAGAACTTTTGTCAAAGACTTCCAGGCCATGCGATATCTCGCAGACATCGAAGAGCCGAGGTCAAGGTGCATTCAACTCTTGCAGGCGCTGGGTGAACCTGGTTTCACGTCCTTGGAGGAGAGCATCCGGCTGAACAGTGAGGACTTGGCTCGAGCAGCCTGAAGCTTTCATGCAGGAGGTCATCACATCGTATCATTGACGCGTCAACAAAGCATATCATAGAGAGCATCAGTAATTAATAGAATGAGTTTTTGAAGCCTTCGGACTACGGAACATCCGGGATGCCGTAAACGAGGCTGATACGCGTATCGCGCACAGTCTCGTGCCCAAGTTTGAGAAAATGCAGGCTACATTATAAATCATACTCTTCACTGCCGATTGGTGCGCAATACGAAACATACAGCGGATAATCTCCGTTTCATCCGTCGCGCTCGGCTTTGTACCTTGATGCAAATCTAGGCTGTGATCGGCGCTGGGGGCGACATGTCCACGTCGCGACCAAACCCAAATCCACAGCTTCACTTTCTCTCACTACGTAGTGTAATGAACTGAGTTTATTCATCGAGATGCGAAAATTAATGACGACGCATGATGATTGTAATTACAATACTCAACCGGAATATTAATAACCTTCCCTTAGTGCCCGTTGAGCAATTAGCTTTTCGTGGCTTCGGCACTGAAACGCAACGTCCTTCCTCTCTAAGCCAATAATTATTAATTCATGACATGCTGTTGTCGACTCAGACTCTTCGGCATTTGCCCCAGGAACCTTTCCTATTGGCCACTCACTTTAGAATCAGGAAAAACCCCTGGTTTCTAACAAACTTAAATATAAAACACCACCAATAAATATCCCCCGCTCTTTAGCGTCTAACGCTCAAACACGCCCGCAGCGTAAATTGCGGCGGGCATCAGAACCTAATCGTTCTAAGCCTAGATAAAACAAGCACTCCGTCGAACCGAAAGTTTGTTTATCAGAGTTTCCAAGGGTAGAATAGATAAAAGATCCAATTTTTCCCGCACCTTCATGATTCTTTCGCTTACCTTGGCATATCTCATTTTTCGGTTCGATTTTGTATTTGTTCGTCATGGAGTCAAGGGCGAGTTCGATCGGTGCGGCGAAGCGCGAGTCTGTTCCCACTGCTGGCAGTGTTTTCTTCGTCTCTTCCAATGGACGCGTGCTGAAATTGCCGATTCCGAGTAAATCGTACCGGGATCCGCTTACGTGGTTGTGGTCCAAGAGGCTGATGGGGTTCTTGGCGCTGCAGTGCTTTTCGATGGCTGCGTCGTTTGAGCTGAATCTGCCGGGGCTGTTGCTTCAGGCAATTGGGGAGGAGTTCAAGAACAGGGTAAAACATCTCGTGCGTCTGGCGATTGAGATGATGCTAATTGGGTTTAGCCAATGGGCCCTTTTGGGGTACAGTCTTTGTCGTCGGCTATGACTCTCTTCACTGGGATTGGGTATTTGATCGGCATTCCGCTATCGACGGCAGTTGGACGACGGCCTATTGTTGTTGGTGCCGCTGTGGTGACGACTCTGTCGACACTTTGGGCTGGCTACGCTGGATCATTCTGCCAATTAATCGCTGCCGTCAGCTTACAAGGCCTCGCAGCTGGATCGGCAACCGGAATGGTAAGACAACATCCACCCAGTCACAAGCATTACTAACAATCCCAGTTCATCCTCATACTTATCGACGCAACCTTCATTCACGAACGCCCCAGCGCACTCTCATTATTCTGGTGCACAGGCTCAGCCCTCATCAAACTCGCTCTCTTAGTCCTTCCTTTCACAACCGACACTACATTATCCTGGCGCTGTGTATACAAAGTCTGGGTTGCACCATGCATCCTCGCATTCATTTTAGTTCTCTTCTGTGTCCCCGAGACATACTTCCTCCGACCCCCCGTCGCACTCGATGGCCGGGTTCTAGTTCAAAGCAGCTCTGAGAAGGTTGAGGTCTATGGAGGTTGGGATGAAATCGAGCTCATCAGAAATGACAAGCCTCTACCTGACTTACCATCCTCTTGGTCAATATGGTCCCACTTAAAGGTGTCGCGAGCACCTGGAACAAAGTGGGAGTCTATGCTTGCAACATATGGACAGATGTTCCTATGCATCCTTAATCCTCTGACCTTTTGGGTCTCTCTACTGACAGGCATCATCCTCAGTGGTGTCATCTTCCTCAACCTTACTCAGCCATCTGCGCTCATCGAGATGTTCGGACACAGTGACGGGGATGTAAGATGCATCAATGCCTTGCTTGGTGTCGCAGGCATTGTTGGCTCTCTACTCTCATTTCCCCTTACAGGACCATTCGCTTCATGGTTCACACGATACTACACCTTTCGCAAAGGCGGTATCCGCCACGCTGAAGTCTACTTGGCTCTTTTTTCCATCCCTGTCATTACCGGTCTGATCAGTGTCCTTCTCAATGGCCTCGCTCTCGTCAACAAGTGGCCTTCTGTCTGGATCTACATCACCTCAGCAATCAGCATCATGAGCTATCTCACCGGCAACGTCGCCTTCACTCTCTGGATCACCGAGGCCTTCCCACGATGGGCTGCGGCAGCACTTGCAGTTCAGTTGTTTACTGGAAATATGATCAGCTTTGGGATTGGTACTGCCATAGCACCTTGGGCTCAGGACGGTCACATTCTACAGCCAACTATTCTTATTTTTGTCTTGATGCTTGTCATGGGAACCATGGCGGTCCCGGCGGCGTTTTGGGGCAAAACTGTGAGGCAGTATATCCAAGGACGCTGGAGTGACTCTGAGAGAACTGCGCTACGTCCTCAGTAGGTGGACCATGCATCGAAAGGGCCTTGGGTCCGTATACAAGCCAAGCAATGGCACAAAAAAGTGTTTCTTAGCGTTCATAGCAATTGATTCATAAACCAGACTACATTTAAGTATTAGTAAAAAAAAAAAAAAACTTGCATCAGTTCCGGATTTGATCTCTTCCGGCTTCTGGGGATTCCTTGTCTCCTAATTTTGTGGAGGCTAGCCTTATCGCACGGTTCATAGATAAAGAAGGGTTCCAAGATATAAATAGATCACCAATTCCCCGTGACATCATTACGATTGATTAGTGCGCTTGAAAGTTGCTCCCAGTCCCGTGTGTTCATGTCGAGAGCTACCCTATTGTAGGTAGAAGAAGTAGATAAATCAACTAATCAGGTCCGCGATAATTGCTCCCAAATGTGTATGGGTACAAGTATGTGTATTATTTTCTTAAACCGCCGTTTGTTATCCCGTATTGTGGATAATAGCTTGCATTGACAAGTCTGGTCTTGGGAACGACTCTTTGATTAGCAAATTTGCCCGACTTCCTGCAAGATGGACCAGAGCCACTCAATTGAAATAACACTTTAGCTTTTCCCCTCTTTCAGGCAGAATAGACTTTGTTTTTCTTATGACCAATATCAACTCTTAATAAATCGGCCATCAAATATATAGTACAACTCGTTCTTTTCTCGAAATCCTTTCGATCAATGGCAAACCGCATCGCGTTTAGAATCCTAGCAGCGGATCGAAGCTCCCACTTTCATGGGTCGGCACGGTTGACCCGAAAATAGGGGACCTTTGTCGTTCATGGAAACGAGAACGGGATGTGGGCGAACTCTCCAGAAGGAATATCTTGGCGATTATTTCCTACCGGAGGCCAAGAGGCTAGGTAACTGAAGATGGTTCGTGCTACGGGTACAATCTATCCAGCCGTTGTCGGCCCGGAAAATGGACGAACGCCGACGCGCCGCGCAACGGATGACTTGAGCGTTGTGGAGCATTATCACCAAGACATCATCATCCCATCGCTTAAAATGTTTGTGGAGTTCCGCTGTGTTTATTAAGTCCCTTTTATCCTCACAAACAATTATCAACTGAGCTATAATTATGTAAGGGCATATCCCGTACTACGCAACAGGTAAGTAAATCGCACGCGACGGAATAACGCGTCCCTTTTAAGCATCTTCCCTACCCTATAAAACCGCTCCACTAAGAACCCCCGTAGCATTCAGGTACCCGGCTCGCTAAACCCGAGAACCAGCTCGGCCAGTAGCAAAGCGACGTCCGCTTATCGAGCACCCAGTGGAGTTACAAAATGTCACCTCCCGCCGTCGTGTTTCAGCTTTCCACGTGGAGAGCAGGCAGCTTAACAGCAATACGAGGCATCACCGTCGAATGGGGTGGTGACGGCGGAGAAAACGGTGGCTGCGCTAGAACAACAGCGGGGATCTGACCTGACTAACAGGGGGGGGTTAAATGAAACGGAATAAGAGACGCTATATGAGATGATAGGAGTCAAACCGTGAAGGAAACAGACGATGGGTTGAGATCGTATAAATGGAAGAAGGTTTGGGTGTTGTTGTTTGTTTGGTCATCGGTCTTTATCGCTCAGTCTTTCGTTTTATCGCACTCTTTTGCAATATTCACTCTTTACTCACTCTTAGTGACCGTCATTCGTTATCTCACGACACTCATTCAATCACCATTCACGATGCGAGCTTCTCAGACCATTATTGCCCTCAGTGGCGTCTTCGGCCTCGCCCAAGCAGGCCCATGCAAGCCTCACCCTCCCGCTTCTGTCATCTCCAGCACTGTCGTCATCCAGAGTGCCAGCAGGTAAGACATTAATCCGAACTCTTCAGCAATACCTACTGACAACTCTCCAGCACTGCATCTATCCCTCAGCCTACCACTACTGCTGCCGAGGCCACCAGCGTTGAGACTCCCGTTGAGACACTCAGCACCGACGAGCCTACCTCTACCGAGATCAAAGTCCCTACTACTACCGCTGCCGTCGAGACCAGCGCTACATCCGCCACCACTGACATCCCCGTCCCTACCCCCTGCGCCATCGAACCCGGATGCCAAGCCGCCGGCTTCAACGTCGACTACTACAAGAACGTCTTCGAGCGCGGCTACGGAAACGACGAGATGTCCGTTCCTCCCTCATACTACATCACCGACGATCTCACTCCTCTCGACTCTTCCGTCACAAGCGAGACATACTTCGCCCAAGACTACATGCAGGACCTTGCCGGATACACCCAGATCTTCCCTGATTCCGCTTACGCCGGAAAGGCCTGGTACATTGGCTACCACCGTACTCTCGCCGGTGGTATCAAGGTTGACGGCAACAACTTCACCCTCGTCTACGCTGGTTACTACCAAGCTCCCGAGACTGGAACCTACGAGCTCTGCGTAACTGCTGATAACGCCAACACTCTTTACTTCGGCCAGGGTAACGCTTTCGAGTGCGGAACTGGCGAGACTGACCCTAACGCCCCTGCTCTTGTCCTCACTGCTACTGGATATCACTTTAACAACCCTACTCAGTGCGGCCACGTTGATCTCATCGCTGGACGTCACTACCCTGTTCGCAATGTCATGGGTAATAAGAACGCTGTTTCTGCGTTTGAGTTCTCTGTTACTACTCCTAGTGGTTCCAAGACTCATGACTTTGAGGGCCAAGCTTTCCCTGTTGCTTGTGGAAAGAAGAACTAAGCGGGGATTATCATTTCACGATCTAATGCTGCGGGACTCTATGACACAAGTTTCGATGTCCATATGAGTTCACTTCACAAGGACTTTATTTTATTCTGTAATAGTTAATGTTTTCAAATATAACAACAAGAATTATACCAATTATCTAAACCACATTTTGGCATTACTCATGAGTCATACGTATAAAACAGTCGTTCTCCCTGCGTGTCCATAGCCTCCTCAACTGTGATGTATCGCCTATCAGGAAGCAAGTTGCCAAAGTCCATCACGTAAGCAAGAGTGATGTTCTGATACTCCTTGTTGCCAAAGAAAGTATAAGGATACGCATACTGAGTGTCCGGCCCGCCGATATCGCTCTTCCTAGCAGGCCAATCCAGTCGCTGCCATTTATCCCAGAGTCGATCAACATTGGTGTGATGCAGCCAGAAGATGGGATCGCCAGGTGAAGAGTACATGTCGCCCATCTCGCCGAAACTACCGCCAATGGCAAGATGGCCGCCACCGTGATATCCTTGAGATTCAGCAGTGACGCCACCTTGGACACGTTGGTCAAACTCGAAGAAGTCTTTGGCCTGAAGAGTCCAGTCGACCATGGTTTGGTTGAGCTTCGAGATACCATACTCTGCAGAGATGTCGCGGGCAAGGCAACGCGGGTTGTAAGCAGTGGAGTTGTCTTGTACAATTAGTCAATCGCTTCATAGTTGCTCATAACGACATACCTGGACCTGCATGAACCTCAAATTCCCCCTTGGCAAAAGGGCCATCGGTAACGCAGCCTGTTTCATGTTAGCGCTTCTCAGTCCTGCAGTGTTATGGCATACCTCCTCCTGTCCTGCCAACGACCGGTTTGGTGACGTTTGTCCAGCTACTGATGTCGATAAAAACACCATTTCCTCCGAAACCTGTCTCTACGTCGAAAATGGGAGACTTTCTGAAATCTTCAATGGAATTTGAGTCAAGTGTCCAGTCTAGAGTCCCATGGTTAGGACATGGAAGCTTCTCAAGAGAGGGCATACTTACCCCAGTAAGGCTGAGCTCCACTGTAACAACATAGATTCCGAAGGTCCTTCTCATATTGAGCAATGAACATTCGATGCCAGCTGCGTTATTTATTAGCTACTGATGCAATGGTGTGATGCTCGTAGCACTGACGCTTGAAAGAATCCCCGCAAGTCGAATTAGCTGGAAAGGTTAGCTATGAATACGAGCCCAGAGACTCACAACATAATGGATGAAGTCGGTATTCACTATATGGCTGACTTGAAAATCGTCGTAGCGGGACTTAGCACCGGCGTAGATGTTTCCCGTCTGCGAGGGTTTTGTCGCGAGGCACTTGACCGCACTGATGTACTCATGTTTGTCTTTCGTGCTTAGCGTTCTCCTACAAACAAAGCCAGCCTTGTTAACAATCCGAAGGGAAAGAAATCATAAATGTCTGTTCCGTATGCAGCGACGGTAATACTCACCATTCTTTACGAACGAGAGGAGTCTTGCATCCACAATCGTGAGTAGGTGCACAAGAGCCTGGTACAGCAACAAGAAGAGCTGTGGCCAGCAGAGATGGAAGATGCATGACGAGAAGACAGAAAATCTCAATTAGTAGATGCAAAGGTAGATGATGTGGTAGCGTTCAAAAATGGATGGGAAACTGGTTCTTAAGGCCCAGATCGGTGGAATAAACCTTGTTTTTACACTGACTGGAAGATCCCGAATGGTTGGAAACAACAATCAACCCCTCCTCTGGGGTCATTGGATTGACCTGTCACACGTATCTTTTAAAGTCCACTCACGAGTCAGGGCCTAAATTACACGGTCTTGATCAGCGGGTACAACTCATGGCATAACATGCTTCATGAGGAATGATGGCTGAGCCAAAGTGCTGATTCCCAACCAATAGTAGTCGAGTTCTTGGGGCGAACGATTATCCCGCGAAGTCTGGGCCTGAGTCCTCGCTTATTTGTTTATGAAGTTAGTTAGTGGTAATTGGCGTAAGACTTATAATTTAAACTCTGGGTCGTGTGAAAGAAACCATCGTACGAGTACAGACCGTTAGACACTCAAGCTCTACTGATGGGGATGAGATTGCCGTTGGGCCCCTCATTTCGCATTCCAAGCAATGTTTATTTAACAGATTACGAAATTATCACACTGAACGAATTTAACCTCATTAAGGTTATATAAACTAGCTGCTAGAATTGTCTCTGCAGCATTGGAAAATGGTTATGTAACAGAGACAAGATACCGTGACGGGCATTTTATGGCTTAACAAGAAGACTAGTTCTTACCATCAATTCTACCGCAGCAAGACTTTGACAACATATCTAACTGAGAATAAAAAATTCTAATAGGATACCTTCTGATGATCAATTGTAGTGACCTGACAAATGGGTGCTTTACTCAATGACCAGACTACTCTCCATTCTGCTAATATGAAGCTGTTTGTACTTTGTGTTAACACAGACGGAGGAAACGCACGTGATACGAGCAGGGATCATCACCAAGTCCTTGGTGAGGCTGAATGGCAGCTGATGCACGTTGGTTTGCACAGCCTGATTTGAAATTTCCCCTCAGCATCATCTTGGATCGGTGGAATGAGATCGTCTCTGCTTCAACAAACACGCGAAACCGTTGTAGGAAGCCTCATTCGCCCCGACAAGCCACAGAGCCAACTCTAGCCGACCCCAGGCTGAGCGAATCGCGACGAAATGGAGCGGCGGCGCCTGTCTCACGGTGACGGTGGCGCGCTGCCTTACCATGCAAAGCGACGCAAAACTGGCTTCCAGCACATTCAAGATGAATCTATACGCGAACGCTATACAGTCGCTTGGATTTGCGCCCTCCATATTGAAATGGCAGCAGCACGTGCGATGCTCGACGAAGAGCATGACAGCTGTTCACGACAAGCCAACGACACGAACTCTTATGTTTTGGGAAGCATGAAAAACCATGACGTGGTGATAGCTTGCCTCCCGGCAGCTCAATACGGTACAAACAATGCCGCGACCGTGCTGAGTAACATGAGAAGAACGTTCCCCAACATCGAAATCGGATTGATGGTAGGCATTGGTGGGGGAGTGCCGCTCAAAGCTGATATAAGACTCGGAGATATTGTCGTGGGCATCAGAGTCATGCAGTATGATATGGGGAAAACACTTAAGGTCGGGTTCCAACGGACGGGAGATCCAAAGATCCCCGACCCTACCATCCGGACGGTCATCTCAAATCTGAGATCTCGACATGAGCTAAGTGAGAGCCGAGTGCCTTCGATATTGCGGGAAAAGATGGGTAGTCACGCCGCTTATTCCCGTCCAAGCGAGCCAGATCGTCTGTTTCTTGCATCATATCATCATAGCGATCCTGACTTACCTTGTGACAAGTGTGACTTGTCCAAGCTGGAGACAAGAAAACAGCGACTATCCACTGACCCGGTAATTCACTATGGCGGCATCGGTTCGGCCAACACAGTAATGAAAGACTCAACTGTTCGTGATGAGATTTCCCGAGAGTTGGATGTGCTTTGCTTTGAGATGGAGGCTGCTGGTTTGATGGATATCATGCCTTGTCTACCTATTCGTGGTATCTGCGACTATTCGGACTCTCACAAATCAAAAGGGTGGCAGCGATATGCTGCTGCGACTGCAGCAGCTTATGCATATGAGTTCTTGGAGCTATGGAGAGGGGACTCTCAAGTGTCATTCGCCCGCTGCCAACAGCCAGATTGTGAGGATTTATGGTTTCCAATTTGTTACCCCAAGAAGCTAATATCTTCTAGTTCAGCACACCATCATACCTGGACGTCATGAGGAGATACTAAAATCTTTGGACTTTGAACAAATCGACGCTCGGAAGTTGACCATTAAAGCTGCACACTCAAAGACTTGCCGTTGGTTTCTCAAGCACCCTGAATACATCTCGTGGATAGACCGACAGCAGATATCGGAACACCACGGGTTTCTGTGGATCAGAGGAAAACCCGGAGCTGGAAAGTCTACTGTCATGAAGTTCATCTATCTGGAGTCCAAGAAAAAGGACTGTAAGCATCAGAGCCTCACCGCCTCATTCTTCTTCAACGCCCGTGGAGAGGTATTGGAAAAGACTGTCTCAGGAATGTACCGATCACTACTTTTGCAGCTGTTCCATGAATTCCCAGACCTCGAGTGCGTCTTGGATGACCCGGAGCTTCTGCCTCGAAATCAGAGTGGTTGCCCACCTTTGAACGCTCTGAAAGACCTCCTCTGTGCCGCAGTTGCCAAGCTCGGCCAACGTTCGTTCAGATGCTTCATAGATGCCCTTGATGAATGCGACGAACAGCAAGTCATGGATCTAGTTGAATACTTCGAAGGTTTAGCTGAGCAATGCTCAGAAGACAATGTAGATCTCCGTATTTGTTTCTCCAGCCGTCACTACCCCTACATTGATATCAAATTTGGCATTCGTATCATCCTCGAGGAACAAATGGGACACGCCGGTGATCTTGAAAGCTACATCAAGTCTAACCTACGAGTCAAAGACAGGAAACTGCTAGCAGAACTGCAAGAAAAAATGCTTGAGAAAGCAGCGGGGGTATTCCTCTGGGTTGTCCTTGTGGTCGACATAATGAACAAAGAGAATTGCCGAGGGCGCCTAGCCATGAGAAAACGACTTGAACAGGTGCCTAGTGGCTTAAGTGACCTGTTCAAGGACCTGCTGAAAAGAGACAATAGCAATGTGGAGGAACTCAAATTATCTCTTCTTTGGATTTTACTCAGCGAAAGACCCCTGAAGCCAGAAGAATACTATCACGCGATCTGGTCAGGGCTGTATTTAGAGGGGTTAGCGGACCTTGAAATACCCGAAGTTGACACAGAGGACTCTGAAGACTGCTTTACCCGTTGTGCTATCAGTTCATCTAAGGGTTTGGCTGAGATCATAAAAGTCAAGCAGCCGAGAGTTCAATTCATACACGAGTCTGTTCGCGACTTCCTTATCAAGGACAAGGGTCTTCACGAGTTATGGCCAGAGCTTGGACCAGACTGGGAGAGTGTAGGCCATGAGAGGCTGAAGATGTGCTGCTATTCCTACTTCGAATTTGTTGTCGAGAAAGGAGAGCTCGAATCTGAAGACTATGATGCTTTCAAGAACTGGTTTGCAACGGAGACTAAGGCATACCCTTTCCTTCAATATGCTAGCCAGTTCGTTCTGCATCACTCTGACCTTGCGGCAAATACTGTTGACCAGCAACCATTCCTGGAGAGCTTTCGGCTGTTTTTTTGGAACTGGGTCGTCAACACGTTTGAAAACTTTGAGGTCCGCAAATACAGCCCAACTGCTGGGTTACTATACATACTTGCGGACAGAGGGCATTCGTCACTCATACGGACAAGACTGGAGAGCGATGCCAATATTTACGTACCGTCAGAGAAAGACAGATATGTATATCCACTCATAGCTGCCATGGCCAAAGGGCACAAAGCTAGCGTCCTTGTTCTTCTGGGTTTACCATCCGCGCTTTATGAAGGGATGGATGTAACAGAAGGGCTGTTGCCCAACATAGATGCTGGCGGCACCTCCCGAACCCCACTCTCTTGGGCATGTGAGAACGGCAACTTTGGAATCGCAAGAGTCCTTGTAGAACGAGACGGCCAATCCATAAATACGGGTGGAGCGGCATACTCACCGCTGATGCTTGCGTCGAAAAATGGTCACTGCGACATAGCGAGATGGCTGATTAGCCACGGCGCAGACGTTAACGAAAGATACAAGAAAGAAAGTGCCATTTGGCTTGCATCAAGCAATGGCCACGTGGAAGTGGTTGAGCTCCTGCTCGACGCGGGGGCAGATCATAATACATGCGGCGTCCATGGCACGCCTATACTAGGTCTAGCTGCCATAAAGGGCGATGAAGAGGTGATGGAGCTTCTTTGGAAGAGGGGGGCAGATGTTAATGCAGGAGACCGTTGGGAACAGACACCTCTTCATTGTACTGCAGAAAGAGAAGGAACAAGGGCAACAATGGAAGCACTTCTCAGCTACGGGGCAAGGATAGAGGGCAGAAATAAGTGGGGCCAGACACCTCTATTCGGGGCCGTGCTGGGTGCCTCTGTCGATGAAATCGGGTTCTTAATTACACAAGGAGCGGATGTAACAGCTCAAGGAAACGATGGTGAGACCTGTCTCCACCGAGCAATGAGCAGGATTTCAGTATCGTTAGAGATTGTTCGATTCCTTCTGGAGAATGGGGCAAGGGCTGATACTCGCGACAAAAGTGGCCAAACGTTTCTCCATACCCTCGCATGCCAGAGAACAGCCCCCCCTTTTACTGGCGACTTGATTCAGCTGGTTACTAGCCGCGGAGCCGACATAAATGCCAAGGACAATGAAGGCAACACGCCTTTGCATCTTATGTCAAGAGGTAGTCCCGTGGAGGCTCTGGCAACGTTGGCCGACCAGCTGGGTGTGAACCTCAATGCTCGCAATCACCTCGGTAAGACGCCATTGCATCTTGCAGTTTTGGGTTCTCACCTGCACCAAATGGGAGAGTTCGCCATAGGGGCCATCGACATACTGATAAGGAAAGGAGCGGATATTAATTCTCTCGATAATGAGTCAAGAACGCCGCTTGATGACGCAGTGGAAGTAGGTTACGAGTCAGTCATGCAGTTCCTGATTGACAACGGAGGAAGGCGAGGCGTTACATAATTCTGTCATGAGGAATAGTTCATTGTTAAAAGGATATGCTACAGCTAACCAAACAATTATGGTTCAATTTCAGTTCCCCGATAAACCTGATATCGGCGGCTTACATATGCTGTGACAAGTTGGACGATTCGTAACCCAACCTTGGAAAGTTGGCAGAACTTTTACCCAATGGAATTCGGCTCAGCAATATCAGGAGATGCCCGGAAATGGTGCCCGACCTTGTCACATAACTTATAAGACGACCGCTCACACACAATTGGCTATTTCAAGTTCTTAGCCGGGCCATCTCGAGCTTCTGTAGCCAATACATATGAGAGTGAGCCTGTTGAGCCTTCCATGTCTGATCAATTAGTTCTTTTGCCGATGTCAACTCAATGTGGGGAAACACTTAGACACATTCTGAAACAAAACACTGGTGACTGGGCGACACAGGATGGTTCTTGAGTATAAAAATCCCTCTGCTCTTACAAGTTGTTTTAAAATGATGGGACCAAGAGCAACAGTATCGTTGGAAGTGATGGAGGATGCTTAAATCACATAGTTGGTTCAATGACACAGGATCATGTATCCTTCGAGTTTGGGAAGTCCACGACAGACTGTAATGTAATTCTATTGCTATGATGCTAATTTGAGCGCATCTCGCATCACGATTTGCTTTCTGGCCTGTCACAATGCTTTATTTGAACAAGGTTTATTCGATTTCATGTATTCATTTCTTATTGGTAAACGAAGAAGAGATAGCGGTATGCTGGAATAAAAAACAACAAACCGGTGTTTTCGTTATTGGCACCGGGATGAGCGGCTTTTGTTGTTATATCATCGTGTCACATTCTTGGCGATGCCTCAACTTAATCCGCATGGCTTCAGGGCCTGATATCAGACTTCCCCAGAAGAGCCGGCTACATTGAGTAGATACTGTCTGGTGACCAATTATGGATCTCTCTGCTCATGCACTAAAATACCTTGAGTCTTTGAAGACGATAGTGTCGACTCGACGGTTTCAACAGGGGCTGTCGATATTCCAGGGAGAGAGCGTCTCTTCTTTCTCAAAAGCCTAACAAACAAGAAGCTGTCAACAACTGAGAGCCATAAAGAAAAGAGAATCACCTATGCAATCTGAAGGTTACTCTTGGAAGAAAATGAAAGATATTCACTTACATAATTACAGCGATCCCTCCTAGAAGGAACGGCACTCCGAGGCCGACGCTGACACCAATAATGACATTTTTGGAAACTCCCCCAGAGTTGTCATTTGATGTGCCATTTGAATCATCATCATTGCCATTTTCTTTGGCTGAAGGTGTCGTCGTTGGTGGAACATAAGAAGACGGAACTCCTGACATTGCTCCCAACTTGTTTGCGCTCTTTCCAAAAGGAATCAAGCTCGTAACAGTGTGGCTCACGGACTCAGGGAACTCGGCCTCGCCGTCGGTTGGAACAACAGTAACGTGTGTCCGTGTAGTGGTGTACTTCGACGTTGTCTGGAGCGACATAGGACAGTTGACCAATCCCTCTGATTGACACGCCACAACAACGAAAGTCGCTTTGGTGGAGATTGTTGTTGTCTCCATCTCAACTTCGTCATCACTGTTCCCTCTGACCTCTAGTGCCGGGGATGTCGTGATGGATAACGAAGCATCGCTGCTTCGTTGGCTGGCACAAGCATGTCCTAGTGTAGTGTAGAAGACAGGAATCTCAGTTTCGGGCACTGGCCCCCATGTCATATCGTCAATAGCAACCGAAGCTCCAACAGCAGCACCAACAGCCAGTTGATAGACTTCCTCAACGCGAAGGCTGCAGTCGTTGTCTTCATCCGTGGAAAGAGTGACGTTGGTGATCAACTCGGCAATGTTGGCAAATAATCCCACTTCGACACCTCCGCCGACATGAGCGATTGTCTTCCCGGCGATAGATACTTCAGGTGATGCTATTTCAAAGCCAGCTTTTACCCCAACACGAAGAACTGCTTTGAACACAACACCGGCACTCTCGAGAGTGACTGGGAGGAATTCGAAGTCGCCACCATTTCTATTGAGCTTCTGTTAGTTCATGGCAAAATACCGTCACAGAAATAAGACTTGCATTGTCAGATTTGAAATATCTTTGGAGAAGATGGCAATGTCAAACAAAACACCGTCGTCCAGTCTTAGATGGAACCCGCTACTAATGTTGATCTCTCCTTCTACAGATAGGATGAGGTCAATAGCAAAGATCACACCAATTTTAAGATTGTCTCGAACGGCAAAGCCTGCAGGTGTAGTAGAAGTGTACAAGTTCAGAGTGTAGGTGGCGCCAGCCGAAAGGACTGTGTCGATCAGCATGTATACTTCTAATCCATCGAATTGGAACTGAAGTTGGAACTCGGGTATCTCGGGTATGTCAACATTCAAGTTGTAGTCCAATGGTGGTAGGTCGAAATCGTCTATGTCAAGTCCGTCATCCAGATTATCCGTCACCGAATCGATGTATTCCTCTATATAATTGGCCGTTTCGTCTGCCAGGCTGTCGATCTCACGTCTGACTTGGTTGGTAAAATTGCTAAAAGCGCGGCTGACATTGAATTCGCGGTCATATATGAACTCTGTGGTAGCGGTTCCTTTGATATAGCAGGTAGCGCAAGTAATTTCGATGCTGGCTGAAACTGAAGTGTTGCTATGCTTGGAACCCAGATCCTGTTCACTGCAAACAGATTAACACAGTTAGGGCTTGGGGTTCAGTGGCTGGTAGTAATTGGCGTACCCCGTGTACGCGAAGAGGATAGCATTGACCCAGCTTGTGTCTAAAGATGTGCTATTTTTCTGCTTCGCGTCTTTTGGCTGTCGGCTCGGGCGGGCGGGGGTTCTTCGATCGAGGTTCGCTGTGTTGTACTTAGGGTACTCAGGCTTGTTAATGGCATGAACATCAGAGGCGCTCCCGAAGACTAGAGATGGCCTAGTCGCTAGAAAAAGAAAGAGTAACAGAGCGTCGAATAACATGTTGTTGAAGCGTCAATTGGGACAAAAGCAAAACTGCCAAGAGACAAGAAGGAAAGGGGATCATGAAGGTTCTATGGGGGGCAGTGCCCTCTCTGTAATTTCAGTGGCCTGCATGCACTTGTCTCTTTAGGTTTCAAGTTCTGCATGTTGGTTCTCAAATATGCATGTTGGCTCTGGATTTGGAGAGAAGGCCAGGTTACGACAGGGCATCTACACTATGACCCACCCAGCTGAAAGGAATCTCCTCCCATTTAAGGTATAGCTGATATTTCAACGTTACAGCAATGTTACATTAATGTAAGTTGGTCTGGTGAACGAGCCGTGATGGAAACTCCTGTGTATGGCGTTGTATGGGAGAAGGCCTACAAAGGTCGCTGAATTGATGGTGAGACATTGTGTCCAGAATCGAAACGACCTAACCTGGTCTAAATTGGACACTATTTACCTCCGACTATTCCCTGAGCCCGTCCCATAATTCTAGCGGACCCAGAAACAGCCTTACAATTACGATAAGATTCTTTCTCATTTCGCGAAAGAGGAAGAAGGAATATCTTCATGTGTACTCAGAATTTATTCTACAAAAAGAGCCTTATTAATGTTCTGGTTGAAGTTTGAGTTGTTGCTTAAAATGGACTCTTGCGCCAATATTTACGAGTAGCCTTTTGTCTTCTGTTTAATTGATACTGTCCATACCTCATTACCGTGCCGAATACACATGCTAGCATGAAAATTCTTCAGACATCGATTCAATGTTATTTGTCACCGGTCCCATCTTAAGGCAAACAAGAAACGAAGAACAAAATGAAGAATCAGAGTTGGTCAATGCTTATCATCAGCCCTTAAGTCAATTGCTGCTATATAATATCTATTTGCTCTAGTTGATTGATATGCCCATAGTAAAGAAGGGCCTTCAGAACGAAACCCAATAAAAACCCGAGACTGTCGGCTATCCACCGAATTTTTAAGCTTAATCGAAGAAAGGAACCTTGGACCATAAGAAAAGAGGCACTTCTAGTGTCCTTTGTGGACGGACACGCCAGAAATCCAGAAGCCATGGCGATCCAGCCACAAAGGCACAACCCCATCTACCTTGCATAATCGCCACGCCAAAAACGCGGAAGCCAGCCCTCTCAATGTCGCGAAAGTCAGGCATCAGACGTTCAAATACGATGGAGGGCCACAACGCAGCGCGATCCTCAAAGATGGGGTCATCTCTGTTGCTAATCATGTCGCAGATCATCTGGCTACGTACACAAAGGACCTCTATATCACCAGGAAGAACGTCTACTGGTTGCAGAGAACGCACCCATCGCCAGTTGTAGAACATATTTGCCTCAAGCTCGTTGAAGTTGTATGTATACTGTGGCTTGCACTCGCGACGGAGGTAGAGAGTGCAGGCAACATTCCTGATACTGCGTTTAGCGTCGAGGATAAAATCCTTGAGAATGGAGTGCTTGATTGAGAGGTTAGGATGCGGGTTAGCCTTGATCCTGCCGGCACGCAATTTTGGGTTGAGGTCAGGAATAGGTCCAGCTAGATTGGGATTCTCGTGCCGTCTGAAGTGATAGGCCATCCTGGTTTCGTTCTCCATTTGCTGCTTCGGTTGTGCGGCAGTACTGGTATAGTACAACCCCTTACTCCTTTCGACCATTCCAGCGTTTTGAAGGTCATCTAGTAATGCTTCGAACGCAGGGGCCAAGCGATAGACATCTTCAGGCGGGGTAGGCTTAACCGCGTCAACCAAGACGGGAGGAACTGGGTGGGAGATCGTGTCAGGGAGCCGAAGGTTCCATTTCATGACACGAATCCCCTTCTCCAAAGCTTTGGTTCGTCGTTGGATCTCACCTTGCTTGCGTGCTGCAGGCCAATAGTCGATATAAGGGTACTCAAGAACCTCTCCTTCCTGCAGTGATTCCGAGACCGATAGGAATGACATAGCATCATATTCGAGGTTGTCATTTAGACCGAACCTGCGAGCCAAAGGTGCGCAGCCTAAGTTTAGAGTATGCACTTCGTACTCTAGTGCCTGGAGTCGATCTCGAATCTCGGGATTGTGGAGGGCCAAAGTATTCATCTTTATCGTTGAAGCGTGTGCTTGAGAAGACTGTTGGCTTTGAAACTGATCGTCCTGGTACTGTGAGTGACGTGATTCCTAGGGTTGGAGCTGCGCGTTATTGTACCTGCTAACCCCCATGGGGCGGAAACGTCAAGGTTCTTATACGACCTGATCTTTATGGTACTTACTAAAGGGCTTCGCAGCGAATAGACCGTTCACGTCATGTTCATCATGAGCAGCAGAACAGTCAGTGGGGAATTTTGAACAGCCCAAGAAGACTGGTGAACAAAGGTTAGAGGAATAACAACTATATATGTATATTGAACTAGGCTTGGGGTCTGAAATAGATAACGAACATAGGTGTAAGGGTTACTTGTCGAGTGTAATGCTGACTGTTGAATAGTTTATGTGTTACATCAGCCCTTACTCTCTTGGCTGATACGCTATACTGCTATGAGATTACAGTAGCTAGCCTCTAGAAAGTCGTATATTGGCTTGCAATTAGAAGGCAAGGCCGGTATGCCGCAACTAAACGCTGTCCTTGCTCCATTTGCCCCTACCTCGGATCCTCTTCCCCCAAACAAAGAACAAATAGGGAACAGGGATCAACGCCGCAGCGATACAACCAAAGACGTTTGTTCCCCAGTCCACTCCAAGTTTGAGGTACATAGGGATGATGAACAAAGGAAACGCGCCGGAGAACATGGATCGCATAAAGGTATTGGCTGCAATCGCACTTGCGCTGTAGCGAGTAAACGTGTCGATGAGGTAGCCTAATGCAGACTGGAAGATAGTTGTGAAGCCAAGGCCAGTCAAAGCGATGCCGATGATTGACGGCCAATAATTTATGGTGGGAGATGAAGTCCCTGGAATTGTTAGCGCTGAAGTCACGTCGCTATCATTGTCACTCACATGCAAAGAGGAACTGTCCGGCTGTGAAGACGATACCTCCAAGCATCATCGGCGGTAGTCGAGCTTCTGGAACAGCTTTGTATCCGTTGTCCATAAGTCTCCTACGATAGTATTTGTTGTTATAAACATTGACCGCTGCTGCGCAAAGGATGCCGATCAAGAGAGCGATGAAGGGAAGCGTACCAACCACTGGTCCCCACTGGCGCACCTCCTGGTACTCGATGGAAAAGCTTTCGAGGTTTGCATAGAGAATTCCTGGGTTTGATGAGCCATGGCATCGAGTTTTGTAGGGAGACCTACCATAGACGAATGAGGCGTATAGCGACATGAGAAAACAGATTGGCGTTGCCATCATTTGGAAAGGACGGATGAAGTACTTCTGGTATAACTCTTTGAAAGACACGTCCCATTCCTCATGCTGTTACACTGTTAGGACGCAAGTATACAGTGAAGTGTCTAACTTACCTTGGCATGCAGTGCCCAATCTTGCGTGTGGAGTCTCAGCTTATGAGCCTTCCTCGACAACAAAATCGGCGCATAACTCTCATCAATCACCAATACATCGACGGCAAGCTGAGCCATCATCACAATACCAGTCAGGTACTCAGTCCACCTCCAGCCCAGGCTGCTCGAGCACAGCGCTCCACCAATTATCGGACCGAGTGTCGGACCTCCGACTATAGTAACTCCGTAAGCGACAATCGCATTACCCAGTTGGTGAGAGGCCCATATATCCGCCATAACACCTCCGGTAATCGTAACAGGCGCACTGCCAAAGAGCCCCGAGAAGAAACGCGTGATGAGGACGGTTTGGATATCTTTTGCTGTGGCTGTGCCAAACGAGAATACGGCGGCGATGAAGTACGGCTATTTGGTCAGTTATTGCATCTCAACAATGTAGTGTAGACTTACGATTAGAATAAGCCACTTCCGACCATAAAGCTCACGCAGCGGTCCCCAAACTAAAGGCCCAAGACCGAATCCAAAAACAAGCAAACTCGTCGCTGCAGCAGATGTTTCAGTATTGACGTTAAACTCTGCAGAAACAGGTTCAATGGCAGCAGCGAAGAAGGCAGAAGCTAAAGTGATCCAGCAAGTGGTGAGACCATAAGAGATGGTGGTGATGAACTTCTTGCGGAAGGGCCAGTTCATTGGGTTGTAAGGATCATCTGGGCCGTCAAAGGTTACGAGATGGTCGGGGTATTGATCATCGATCGAATGTTTCTGGTCCGAGGCCATTTCGGGTGTTAGGTAACTTGGTCACTCATGATGATGAGTAGTGATTTGCTGAGAAGCTTTTGATTGAGAAATCAATCAAAAAGTCTTCTAGTGTTAGCCACCCTTTTATTCCATCTTATTTGTCTCTCGTCAGGTAATGTACCGCTAATCTCTTGCCCCTGATGCTTATGCGGTGGCCGGCACCAAGTCGAGCTACGGCCCGTGAGCCAAACAACGGATCTTCCGTCAAGCGCACCGAACGATAGTTCCATGCCGAGCCCGGTCATGTCGGGATCGCTCCTGAAGCCCGAAAGCTGGAAAAGGTACCTCTGCTCACTGATTGGATCAATCTTAGCATGAACGTGTGAATCGGAGAGGCATAAGCTTACCCGTCTCCGCCTGGTCCGTGCTATCGACGGTAGCGTGGCCACTAAGATAAGATCGACTACGGGGGCCGCTGATACAGGCATTAGAGTAGAGGTACTAGCATGTTGGTCATCGCCTCAGTATTTGCATTCTCATTCTCTCAACGATCCACGGGCCCTTCATGGCATTCTCAATCTCAGAGAACTCCCCTCCGAGGGTTCCGACGACTTCATTCACCGCCGAAACTGCGAGAATAAGTTCTACTTCAGACTCTCCAATTGTAACTCCATCTACTCCTTCTGATCCACTTCCTCTGCGCAGCTGCACATTTTGCCGCCAGCGGAAAGTCAAATGCGATCGTCAGAAGCCCTGCAGCAACTGCCTCCGCGCCAATAATGACTGTTCCTATCCCGCTGGTCGTGGTAGAGCTGCTAAAAGATATACTCGAACTCTGGATACTCGTCTTGTTGATCGGCTCCATAAATTGGAAAACGTCATCAAGCAACTCACTACTGAGGTCGATGCCACAGACAATGCTATTCGATCTGGCAGCGGTGCAGATCGAGATGATATTGAACCGTCTACAGGTGGTGGAGGAGATTATCCTTCGGGACTAGACAATGCTGCCCCTCATGCTTCCATCGACCAGCAGCTTGGTCGTCTGATGATAGATGATAGCAAGAGCTACTACGTCAGCAACATTCTATGGGCCAACCTAGGAAACGAAGTGAGTAATCTAGCGCTATTATTCGGTGCAGTTGCTGATTTTATGGCTTTTTAGATAGAAGAATTGCGTGACATGCTACACGATCCTTTATCTGAAGACGAAATCGATAATGGTATCGACGCATCTGGGCCTATGCCAGAAGTGGCCTCACCTCTTGGAACAAGCGCTTCAGTCCTAGGATATCGTTCCCTCTGTCATTCTCTTCTTAACTATCATCCACCCATGCACGTATCTGTCACTCTCTTGAATATCTTCATCGAGAATGTCCTTCCATTAGTTCATATCTTCCATATGCCGACTACCGAGCAGTGGTTTTGGGATTCTATTGTCTCACTCGACACACTCGATAGAAACGCAGAAGCCTTGCTATTCGCTATATACTACTCATCAGTCATTAGCATGGATGACAGCCAGTGCTCGGAAGTCCTTGGGGAGTCACGTTCTACCTCGCTAAACAAGTTTCGCTTCGCAGTCGAGCAAGCTATGGCCCGCGCAAACTTGCTGAATACACAGAGCCTCGTGCTCCTCCAGGCAGCTGTTCTGTTCCTCTCAGGGCTGCGCAACGAAGATGATTCCAGAACGACATGGTCCCTAACGTCGCTTGTTTTTCACATCGCCCAAGCTATGGGTCTACATCGCGACGGCACGACCTTTGGTTTCAAGCCATTCGATACCGAACTACGGCGGCGGCTATGGTGGCATATATGTCTGCTAGACATGCGCTCCTCGGAGTTTCACGGATACGAACCTATAGTACGAGAGGACATGTTTGACACAAAGCTTCCCCTCAACATCAATGATAGCGATCTCACCCCCCATATGACGGAGGTTCCTGTAGAGCATGAGGGATGTACTCAGATGACGTTCTGTCTGATCCGTTGCGAGGTGATGAAAGCCGGCTGGAAGGTTGGATATGCATCACCGACTCCAAGCTCGACAGCCAGTGCAGCACGAGGTGATGATGAACTAATCGTTCAAGAACTCAAGCGCCGGTTAGAGGAGCGTTATCTGCGTCACTGCGATGAATCCGTGCCATTCATGCTGTTTACATCGAAGGTCGCCCGACTCATCGTTGCCCGTACAGGGCTCATTGTTGACTTTCCAAGGAAGCAGAAGGAAGCAGAAGCGTCGACAAACATTCGAGACCGACTATCTTCCATCTCAATGGAAGTCCTTGAACTTTCCAGTTTTATCATGACAAACAGCAGTATCTCGAAGTGGACATGGCACTCCAAAGCGCATATCCAGTGGCATGCTGTCATCTTTGTGCTGTCCGAGATCTGCTCCCGGCCAGCTTCCACGGAATGCGACCGAGCATGGGAGTTTATCAACACGGTTCATAATCGATGGAACATGAACGAGAGGGGCAAGAGAGGGAACCTCTGGAGGCCGATTCAGAGACTCATGGTCAAGGCTCGTTATGTACGTGAGATGCAACAGTTGGATCCGGGTTTTTATCTTGCTGGAAGAATGGCTATGCCTGATGCGACACCCATTCAGACTGGAAGTGTTGGGTTGCAGAAGGAAACTTCAAGTTCATCCGATATGACTGACATAGCGAGCCCGAATGGGTACATGGATTGGATGCTTGGAGATCTTGGGATAGACCTCTACGGTGGAATTGCAAACGGACCCAGCTGGGGCTAGGACAAGCATGCTGTGACGACCAGCTAATTCGCACCGAAGTAAGCAAATAAATAAGGTTTAAGAGACCTTAAAAAGGTTAAGTTAAATTAGTTAAGTTAAGGCTAATTTATATTAGCCTTATATTAGATAAGGGAAACTAAGCTAAGATATGTATAGTTAGGTAGATCTAACCTAGGAATTTCCTAATATATTTTCTAGATAATTTTTAATTAATTATAATTAAGTATTAAATAAGTAAATACTTAGGAATTAATATCTTAATCCCCCTTAGCTTAGAACCTAATTCTATATAAGTAATAAATAAAAAGTTATAGCTAAAGTATAAAAGAAACTGTAATATATATAAAAGTAAAAGGAATTACTATAAGTTACTTTATAAAGCAGATCCTAAACTTAGGGCACTTAGGCTATAGTTACTATTATTATACTTTCTTATAAAATCTATTTTTCTTTTCCTTTCTTTTTCTCTTATATATTATAATATAACTATAATAGTTAGTCTTACCTACTGGCCTTATACCTTATCTTTCTTCTTTAATTAAAGCTATTACTAGCTTTAATTATTTATTCTATATGCTAATACTCTGATCTAGTCTTCCTTTTCCTATTATACTATAAGCCTTAGTTATACCCCTAAGGATAGTTATTTTTAAACTCCTTATACTCCTGTGGCTTATAAGGTAAGTCTTATTATCTTATATATCTTTTCTTACCTTTATTTAATTAAATATACCTTTAATATCTTGTTTCTTACTTTAGAACACTAAAGCTACCTGTTAGGCATGTACTGCTGCGGCTTGCGTAGTAAAGGCAGTCTCGAGTTATCCTTTTGCTAGCAACGACGATGATGAAGATGAGGATCAGTAGCTAGTCGCTTTGGGTTATGTATTAGGTGCGACTTTGTATAATTGCTTTGTATTAAGCCAATTTGGTAATTAGCTTTAGGGATCCTAAATAGACTTAAATGTCTAGGCTATTTACTACTAGCAAGCAGAATTAATTAAATAAAATTAATTATAATTTTAGTGCAATTACGCTCTTAAACTATCTTTTCCTTATTAGTAATTTATTATAATATATTTAGCAGCAATTAAAAGTATTTAAACTGCTATCTTATAAGTGCCTTAGTTAGCCTATTAATAGGTATTTTATTAATCTTAAGGTATATTATATTAAATAACTTTTTTTTAAACTCCTGCTTAAGCTATATATTATATATATCTATATATTATAAGTAAGTAATAATTCTTGTGCTACTTATTACTAAATGGATTATTTACTAATTATTATAGCAAATATCCTATAAAGTCTTAGGGTTAAATTAAAGGTCCTTAAAGAAGCGTTTTATTCCTATTATCTTTTTAGCAGCCTATTTAAGGGTAAGGAGTTTAGCTTTAGTAGTTAAAGTTATTACTATTACTTACCTTAAGGCTTTCTAAATAACTAGTCCTTTAAATAAACTAATTAAATATCCCTGTAATAACTTTCTTATTTCTAAGTTATTAGTAAAGGAAGTATTTAAAGTAATTATTATTACCTAAGTCTTATTATACCTCCTATATATAATACAGTAAAAGTATATAAGATATAAGTAGTAGATAACCTAATTTACTGTAAGATAATACTATTTACTTAGATTAGTAAGGAATCTAAAGAGGTAGCTTATAGTATATATTACGTTAGGCCTAATTATAATTATAGTATATAGAATTAAACCTATTTTCTCTTAATAGAGCTTAATCTCTTCCTTTATTGCTTAGTCTTTACATTTCTTATATTTTAATAATAAAATTAAAATTACTAAAAAGGTATTTTTTACAGCCTAACTAAATTTTATTACAATCTTCTTAATATAAAAGTTATAATATAGACTTATAGTTCATTTAGCTTAATTACAATTAATGTTAAGGCTTGAATAAAATAGCTGATAAATTTACTATAAGTAGTAGGATGTACTATAGTGATAGAAGAGGAGGAGGAGAAGGTATTAAGAGAGTAGAAAGTTATAACTGCTGAATAGTAAGGTATAGGGTAGGATTTATAAGATAAAGATGGGTCCGTTAAATAGAGCGAATTTTTCTGAATTTAATAATATATATTATATAATTAGGAAGCTAATAAGTCTGTAACTAAAAGGAAGTTCCCTAAGTAGGAAGTCCTGGGGTTTATATAGACATTCTAAAGAGCAAGCATTAAAATTCCTAAAGAGAGGTAGACCCAATAGTGACAAAATAACTATCGTAAAAATCGCCAAAATTCAGAGAAAAATAAGATATACTTTTT